TTCCTTGCTTCCTCCCTCCCTTTTTTCCTTCTCTTTCTTTTCCTGTTTTTCCCCCTCTTTCCCTTCCTTTCTTCCTTCCTTCCTTCCTTCTTCCTCACCCTGTACTCCTATCTCTGTTTCGGAAGACATTTTGGCACTTTTTATTATAATTTAGACATTTTAAAGCCTTATCACCTAATGATTTCATTTCAAAAAATGTGTCCAATACAAATTCTTAAATGTGAAGAATATCAACAAGAATATTCATTGCAGTGTCATAGTATGAGGGGGAAAAGGTCCAGATAAGAAGGTGATGGAGAATCCTGAGGAATTCAAGACCCTGGTTGTAGCTCTTGTTACTGAGACTCAGCCCTCTTCTGCCTTTAAGTGTTGTTATACCTTCTAGCATCCTTCCTTGGTTTTTGTGTGTTTTATTAGATTGTTTTGTTTTTCCAAAGCTAGTGTGGGCAAGATTCCTGTGATGGGCAGAGAGTTCTAACAAAGTAGAACCCTTGTAGTCACCCTTTCCAAGTAAGGCACAGGGCAGCGGAAAGCAGGCTGGTTGTGCAGCCCTGTCTGTGTGCATCTGCATGCACAGCGCCCCAGGGAGCAGAGGCAGAATTCAGAAGCAGCCATGAAGCCTACAGACTGCTGAGCTCTGGCCCGGCCCTGGTGCCCTCAGCAGTTCCCTCTGGGCACTCCAGGCCCAGCCCCTGCACACCTGTTCCCTTGTGGATTAGGAGGAGGGGCACATGGAAGCTGTGCTGTGTCACTGAGACCTGGGTCGTGCCTGCAGGGCCCCTTTGCAGTACAGCAAGAGTCCTGTGTTGGCTGGAGCCACCCCACCCTAGTGCCCTGCCTGGGCAAGTTAGCCATCGAGCCATCACCGTCACCCTCCTCTGACCCTTGACAAATGCATGCTTTTTCCACTGTGGTGTTTGTCTGTGCTGTTTGCTAATGTGGGGCCTGAACACTGCTGAGCTTATCCTCACAATGGATTTCCTGCTGGTGTTGGATCTGTCCTGCTCTCTAATGAGTAATAATTTATGTTGCCTAGGCACACACATAGGCTGATGTCCATGATGCTGGTGGCCTTGGCAGACCCCAGCTCCTGCAGTCTGGGTGGGAATCTGCAGGCATTAACCCTGCCTGGCATACACCAAACATCCCGGGAATGGATGCAGGCAGGACGGACTGGGCGGCGTGGATGGAGAGTTATCCATCTGTCAGCTGTGTCCGGAAGCTCCTGGGCGCCATACTCCATCCTGGGCTCTAGGATACAGAAGTGCAGAGGGCATCGGGCAGCTCTCGAGGACCAACTGACTGGCTGTGATTGGAAGCAGATGATGGCAACACACACAGCTTGGTCCTGGAGCAGCGGGGAGGACAGAGCCCAGCAGTGTGATTTAGGTTCTCGAGGAAGGCCTTGGGGCTGCTATAAGGAAAAACTTTCCTTCCTGGGAACTCGTTCCTGAGCAGCAATAGTTAGATAGTTCCAGAGAAAGTGAAGAGTTCTTTGGATCCAACTAAAACAGGACTTTGCCTCTTGGTCTGTTTGGGCCACGCCCAATGTCCTGAGCACTTTCAGAGGCGCCCTGGAAAGCCCTTCTCTCTGCTGTCCCTGTCTGCTGGCGTGTGTCTCCACCGTATTCAGGCTCTTGTCAGGTCGCCGAGTCCCCATCCTGACCATAGCAAGTGTGTTCCAGGCCCTCTCACTGGCCTTGATGACGTCTATACCTGATTTTCTCCCTCTACTTAGGCTCATCTGTATTTGCCTTGACTTTAGATTTCAGTGGGATCAGTGTCTCTGAAATTTCAGCCCAAATCTTGTGCTGGGGCCTAGGATGTTGGGAAAGCTGGGCTTTCACCAATGGGATTGCAGGCGTAGCCAGAAGGAGCAGCCACAACACATGGCTACTGTTAATGCATTAAATACACAGCAGCTCCCAGTAGTGGGACGGGGTCTCCTGCCTTGTCCAGGAAGCAGTGATGGGTCAGCTTGGTAGACAGAAGGCTGCAGGGAGCACTCCTCTTCCCCTCTCTCCCTTCTTCACCCCACATCCTCCACCCCCTCCAGCCCCAGAGTGGCAGACTTGCAAACAGGAAAAGTTGCACTAACTGCAAAGAAATGCAGTGAATCCAGACCTAACCCCAAAGCAAACGTCAGCCATGGTGGGTTTGGAGCTGGGCTCTGCAGTGGCCGTCATTGTCTGGCTATGTGGGGCGAGGAGCTGCTAGGCTGTGAGATAAGGAGCTGAGCTGGGCCAGGGCATCGGGTCTTTCCAGGCACCTCGTCCAGAGAGGAAGCCAGTGCCCTGCACACCCCCTCACTCCCCAATGGCTCTGGGGTGAGTCGTATCTCAGTGGTGACCTCATTTCCCTTAACTGGGTGTTCACAAACCTCCTGGAAGGTTCCAACAAATAAACTACCCGGATGCTAGTGTGGGAGCGTCTGATATCCCTGACTGAGCCTTTTCTTTGGGGCACGGGTGGTCGCCCGAGTGATACTGGAGGATGGGGTAATTGCTTGGGTGAGGAGAGCGTGTTTTTTCAAGATAAGACCTGATCCTGAGAAGAGGGAGCTTTCCAGACAACATCAGGGGATGGGGTGGGGGTGAGGGATGCAGGTCTTGCCTGTCCCCTTGCTGGCACAGCATTAGCTGCTGAGCCCCTGCATGAACTCCTGCCTTGGCGGGAGTGCAGCCCGGGCACTGCCGAGGCCCTGTGGTATTAGGTGGCACTCGGGATCGGCTTTGGAGCACAGTGACCCAGGCCGCTGTGCATCTCTTCTCCCGCTCTGATAGGCTGTGTCTCCCTGGGCTTGTTCAGCGTACAGTGTCCATTGAGGACCCAGTGTGGGACTTGTCACCTCTGCCCACGTGGTCCAGTGCCGCAAGTACCAAGGCCACGCTCTTTTGCTTGGCACTAAGACCTTCAGTATCTGGCTCCTGGAGAGTTTGCCTCTTTTCTCTTCTTTCCCTCAAATATCCTTCTTTCCTTCTGCCTTGAAATTTTTTCTTTTTCTCTTGCTCTGGCAATATGTTCTTTTCTTCTTTTCATTCCTGGAAAACCAGAGGCAGCACAGCATGGTGGGCCCTGGCTTGAGACCACTTGAGTTCTGACCCCATCTCTGTCCCTTTCAATGTATGAAAACAAGGGCCATTTAACCTAGCTGCTGTCTCAATTTATTCATCTGTGAAATGGGCGTAGTAATGCTTCTTCCTATCAGCAGTAATAGTTCCTTAGGTTCGTTGTGTGGATTAAGAGCTAAAGCATGTAGAATACTTGAAACAATGTCTTACATTAACTAAGCAATCAATAAATGTAGGCTACAGTGATAATAACTTTTAAAGACCCTCCACTGCGAAGCCTTGGCATTCTACCAGGCAGGATTAGCTTTTCTTCTTCTGGGATTCAACTAAGACCAACCATATGAAGTTCCAGTTATTTATTCCAAAGTCTGAATTTACCACTGGCCTGAATGTTTCTAGAAGATAAGAACTAACTGGGTTTAGCAATAAAAGGAACAGCATTTACACTACTATGTGTTAAGCTGTCCACCATATGACATTTTCATGCAATTTTTTATTAAGACCTTATTCACATACTGTAACATTCACCCAGTTGAGGTATACAATCCAGTGGTTTTAGTATATGCAGAGTAGTGTGAATTTCACCACTACCCAATTTCGGATGTTCCATAAGAAACCGTGTATCTAGTAGCAGCCCCTCCTCAACCTCCCCCCTCCACTTCCTGCAACCACAAAGCTGATTTCTGCCTTTGTGGGTCTGTCCGCCTTGGAAATTTCATATATAACAAAACAAAACAAAAAAAACACGTAATATGCATCCACTTGTGTCACGTTTCTTTTACTCTGCACAATGTTTTCAAGGTTCACCCAACATTATGACTTCATTCCTTTGCGGGATAATATTCCACTTTATGGAGATACCGTGTTTTGTTTATTCTTCAGCCAATAGGCATTTGGGTTGTTTCCATTCTGGGGCCATGAAGGGTGCTGCCATGAATAATCATGTGCAGGTTCTTTGTATGGACAAGCGTTTCCATTTCTCTTGGGTATTATATTATGCCGAGGAGTGAACTTGCTGGCTCAGATAGTAACTGTAGACTGAACTATTTGAGGAATGGCCAGACTGTTCCAAAGCATTGCCATCATTTTACATTCGCACTGGCAGTGTGTGAGGGTTTGAATTTCTCCCCATCCTCGCCAGCACTGGTTGTTCTTTTTTTTTTTTTAACTGTAGGGATTAGGAAGTGATAACTCTCTGTGGCTTTGATTTACATTCCTCTGGTGGCTGATAGTGTTGAGTATCTTTTCATGTATTTACTATTTATTTGTGTGTCTTCTTTGAAGCAATATCTATTACATCCTTTGCTCATTCTTAAATTGAACTGTTTGTAACTCTATTGTGGAGTTGTAAAACCTCTTTATATATTTTGGAGACAAGACCCTTATCAGATATATGACAAAATATTGCAAATATTTTCTCCCCAGTATAGCGTTGTCTCTTTGCTTTCTTGATAGCATCTTAGAAGCACTAAAGTTCTAATTTGGATGAAGTCTAATTTGTCGATTTCTTTCTTTTGTTGCCTGTGCTTTTGGTGTTAAACAACCGTGGATGAAGGAGCCATTGCCTAATCCAAGGTCACAAAGTTGTACAGTACGCTTTTAAAGCCACGTCTCCTTTACAGTAACCTTACGAGGAATAACGAGTCTTCACAGACCCACTTCACAGATAAGGAAACTAAGAGGTCAAAGGCCGGAATCGGGACTTACACACAGTCCCTCTGAACCTCACACACCTCACTGCGCCTCTCCAGCGTCCCTTCCCCTCTGTGTTCCTCACAGAATTGTTTGAGGGGAGGCGCCTTGGGTGGATGAATGACAGCCCAGCAGCTGTGCAGGGCGCCCCCTGGCTGGTTCAGGCGAGCGCCTCAGTGAGAGCTCTCTGGGTGCCAACCATTACTGAGCCTCTCCGTCCTCTCCCTCCCTCCACAGTGTCTCATTGTTGGCGGAGGACCCTGTGGCTTGCGCACTGCCATTGAACTCGCCTACCTGGGAGCCAAAGTTGTCGTGGTGGAGAAAAGGGACACCTTCTCCCGGAACAATGTGCTGCACCTCTGGCCTTACACCATCCATGACCTGCGGGGCCTGGGAGCCAAGAAGTTCTACGGGAAGTTCTGCGCCGGCTCCATCGACCACATCAGTGAGTGGGCTCTGGGTGGGGCGCATCTGTCTGAGATTCCAGCTAGGGGGCCCTTGGGGGCTCCATACACCCAACTAACAGGAATCTCCGAAGGCCTTGCTCTGTGTCCTGTTCCAGGCCCTGTGCAGCGACTCGCTAGGCTGTAGGCACCAGGAAGCCAAGGGCGTGTGCTATTCCCTGGCATATCTCCCCCCAGGGCATTACAGGGTACTTGACACATAGTAGATCCTCAGTAAACATCTGCTGAACAAATGAATAAAATGTGGAAGCCAGAGGTAGGGTAAGTGACATAGCCTACAGTCTAGGGAGCTCACCAAGATTTTGTAAGAAATAAAACATGGCTTCCTGGTGTCAGTCACGCTTCCCATTAAATGGGCCGAATAGCTGAGACCTGGCATAAAGGAGTTTGGACACTATTGCCCGTGCTGAGAAGTCATATAACCTATGACTGGGATGACACAGTTGGAATGGTATGATCTCATAAATCTAAGACCAAAATTTCCTGGAGCTTGAAAGCCATCATGAAGTGGCTTCAGCAGACAGGCAGCGAAGTGGCGACTGCACCTCCAGTCTGGGACATTGCTAAGTGCTCACAAGAGCAAGGTCCTTTGTCCTGAGGCCAGGTCTCTCTGGGCAAGGTCTGTGCAGCCTGGTCTTGGGGTGGCAGCACCCTCTCCATGGCTTGCAGGGGGAGGATTTAGCCATTTTTGTACAGCAGTGGTGACCCATGAAAGCGAGGGTAAGTTCAAGTATTTGAATCCACTTGGATCCAAAAATCTGTCTCTTCCATTTCCATCTGACTTGAGACAAATTCCTTACCATCTCCAAGACTCAATTTCAGCTCCTGTGTGATTGACACCTGCCTCCCAGAATTTCTGGGATGAAATGGGGTCCAGTTTATAACACCCTTAGCACTATACCCAGCACAAAATAGGTGCTCAGAAAAATGCTTTGCCTCTAATGATGGACAGTGAGCATAAAGCAGCCTCGGTCCCCAAGCTCGAGAGTCCCAAGCTGCATTTTCTCTGTCCATGCTTTTCTGTGGGGGCAGCTGAAGGCAGAGCCTCAGAGCCACATTCCTATAAGGACAAGAACTGGTGGGAAAAGGAGTGGGGTTGGGGTGGAACTGGGTGGAGAGAATGATCAGCCACAGAGGGTGTAATTTATTCAGACTCAAGAGAATTTACCAGCAGTGGCCCCAGAGTTTATTCCCACTTTAGGATGAGAAAATTCCAGGAGCCCAGTGGAAAGAAAGTTGGATTTGCGTCAGCTTTCAGGATGATCTGTCCCACCCACGAAGAGTATGTCGCTAACCGATATACAGCAGTGGCACTGAGCACCACTTTCTCATGGGGTCCCCTGAGAGCAGCACTGGCAACAGGAGTCACCAGCGCTGTTGGTTGGTTTCCTGCCTGTGTTGTTGGGGCCCCCTTGTCATCCCTAGTCTTTGGGAATACTGCAGCGTGCAGATGTGCTGACAAGACTCCAGCAGGGAGCTTAAAGCAGCAGAATGATCATTGTCAAGGGGAGTGGCAGGCTCTTTGAGAAGGAGGGGGAATGTATTGAGCACCTACTGTGTACCAGAGCCATTCAGACTAGGAACCTCCACATTATGAGGTCTCCCCAGGGATGACTGTTTCATGGCAGGAGCTGGACTGGGCTCATTAAAGCCAGCTGGCTGGCATCCATTTGGACCATCTGTGGCCTACAGGTCCAGCTGCATCCTCAGCATGACCTTGTCCAGCAGTTCTCAGCGTGGCCTGTGCTAGGGCCTCCTCCACCTCCCACTGCAGCGTCCCATCTTCCACCACAGCCTCATCCCTAACAGATGACCTCTCTCCTGCGCTCAGACAAGACAGATCCCTGTTCCAGCCTCTTCCTCCTCCTTCCTGAGAACTCCTTCCTTCCTCATGGCCTGGGTCAGAGGCCCCCATTCCCAACTCTAGTCTCCCCTTGATGGCATTCCTGTCTGTCGTCCTCCTGCTCCTCACCTCACCCCGGGTCTCCAGCCCCTACCTCAGAGTATTCTAGAAAGAGGAGGTGTGGACACTCTAGCCACACACAGCTCCCCCGTGCAGTCTGATTCCTCCCCACCACCCTGAGATGTCACCCACGTCTCCAGAAGCCTCCTGGCTCGTACGTGCCCTGTCCTCCTGTAGCCTTTGCAGTTCTTAATCTCTCTGTGGGATTCAGTATTCTTGGTTCCTCCTCTCTTGGCTTCCAGGCCCCAGCTCAGGCCTCGTTCTACCTCTGTCACTACCCCAGCCACCCTCCCTGCTTCATTCGGTTTGCCCGTATCACCTCTGTGAGAGGGTGCATCTCAGTCTCCTGTGCCTGGCATAGAACCCGGCCTGTTATAGATCCTGATAAACCCACTAAATGCAGAGGGGCCCACAGAAGGTTCAAACACCTCACTCTGCAGAGGAATATTTGGAGGGATACTCATTGTGCTGAATGCCAGGTGACAAAATAGAAAAGCGAGGTTACAGTTATTGGGAGAGTTTGGAAGCATGAGTAGAAGGGGGAAAACCATGAGCCCAGCCTTGTGTGTGAATTTCCCACCCCGCCTCTTGCCATCGGAGCTGGAGCTGAGGTATAGGACCTAGATAAGAAGATCATTGATCAGCAGGAAGGACCGAGCCTGCCTCCTTGTGACTGCATTGAACGTCTAGGGTGGGGTTGTCCAGTCACGCGGAATTGGGCCCAGAGTCTGGTTCGGCTGCTGTGTGACATTGAGCAAGTCATTTAACCTTGTAAAACCTCCATTTTTCACCTGTGAAACGAAAATAACAGTGCTCCCAAAGGGTCGCTGTAAGGTTCAGAGAGAAAGCAGAGCACTTGGCCCACGCTCTGTAGTACTCACCATTGGTGCGTAGCTGTGCTGCGACCCCGGAGCAGTGAGGGTCCAGTGTTCTGCATACAGGAGGAGCTCAAGCACTGCTACCAACAGTCATCTCTCATGTCCCTCCTTCCTAACAGGTATTCGTCAACTCCAGCTCATCCTATTCAAGGTGGCCCTGATGTTGGGAGTTGAAATCCATGTGAATGTGGAGTTTGTGAAGGTTCTCGAACCTCCTGAAGATCAAGAAAATCAAAGTACAGCATGCTTTTCCTTTTCTGTCGCAAAGTCACATATTGCAAACCGGAAGTTCTCAGAAGATGTTTCTGCGAGTTATTTTTACCAGAAGCCATTTGGCATAAATCCATCAAAGGATAGTTTACCTTTTTTGACCATTCCTGTGGCTTTAGCTTTGCTCTTCAGCTCCCAGAAGATTTACTACTAAGTTACAAAACCTCTAATGAGGTCACCCTGTCCCTAGGAGATGCTGCTTTGACAAATCAAATCAATAGGAGGAAAGAAAGCTAAGATTTAGTTGTTTTGGTAAAGTTCACTCGCATGCACTTCAACCTGCATGCGTTGCCTCACACATAGATATGTGAGTTTACTTTTTTCTCTTAGTGTGTGTATTTAAGTTGTGACCTTCTAACACATCCCGGTCAAGAGTTTGCTCATGACCCTCTGCACCTTACTTAGAATCAGTATCTTCTACTGCCTGGGAAAGAATTTGAGTTTTGAGCCAGTTTAACATGTGAGACCTTGTAGTTTGCTGCTTACGGCAACATGTCCGGCCTCTCTTGTCCTCTGCCCTGCGTGTTCGAGAGTATAAGAGGGCTTTTCTGACTTTCGTAGAAGGACATCATCATGATCTGGCCCTCAGAGGTTTGTGTGTGTCCCTCCTCATCTCCGCACCTCTCCTGGTCCCACCTCCATCCAGACTCTGAGGACCCGGTCGGGCCTCACCTGCAAATGTTCCTGTGAACATCACTGCACTGTGCCACAGAACGTTTTAAGCTAGCAACAGTAGATAATCAAACTTTTCTTGTGAAACCCTGCACACCCTTTGGGGCCTGTTTAGCAATGGAAGGCATTAAGGAGCATTAGGGGACATGAAGAGAACTCAGTAGAATCTGGGGAGAAAAATATGGTGCAAGGGAGACAAGTGGAGGAATCACTAAGGACAGATTCCTGGCAAAGGTCACTAAAACCAGCTACAGGGCTGGCATTGCTGCTTTACTTTGTCCCGACTGAACTGGCTCTGAACCAGAGGAGCCAGGCTTTCCTCTAGAAGCTCCCCTAGGGTGCAGCATTTCTCATGGCCGACAGAGAGGGGTGTCATCATTCTCACCCCACCTCTCTCTCAGCTCATCTCTTCTTTCTGTCCTGGTAGAAATTGGCTGGAGAGCAGAATTCCTCCCCACAGACCACGCCCTGTCGGAGTTTGAGTTTGATGTCATCATTGGGGCTGATGGCCGCAGGAACACCCTGGAAGGTGAAGGTTCTGCTTCTTGGGGGGAAGGGGCTGGAGAAGCATGGGAAAAATGGCAGATGCCAGAGCTGGAAGGTTCTTGAGAGCTGGACAGACTGTCCTGCCCTGGACTGAGACCATATCCCATCCTCCTGGGAGACTGAGGGCGTAGAGGACAGTCATGCTCTTCTCTCTGAACCTCAGTCGTCACAACTGTAAAATGTGGGCACAGAGCCCTCTCAGGGCTGCCATGAGACCTGGGAATAACTGGTGGGTAAAAATGCTTTATAAGAGTGCAGTGCTGTGGGAAAAATCAACACACATTTGAGTACCCGCTGATGAGCAAGCCAGGTGCTGAGCACTTTCATACTTACTTCATCTAGGATAAACATTTTGTGCTATTAATGGTATTCATTCATGTTCAAATACATTACGAAGGGGAGGAAGGGCCCCTCTCCTCTCCTAACTCTTAAGCATACTCACTGCTTGGAAGTTAGATAACTTCTGCCAGACTCCTGGGGGTACAAAGCCATGCTTTTCTGGAGCCTAAGCAAGATGGGCATTTAAGTCAGGGTGGGACAAAAGCCCTTCTGCCAGGACAAGTCAGCCCCCTCCACCCCAACCCTGGAGAAGCCAGGGACAAGAATTTGTCTTTCCAGATCAGACCGCGTTCCCAGTGACCTCCAACTAAAATGTACGTCTTAACAATACACTTAGCTACTGAACGTGTCAATGGATGAATCCAGTCATTTGCCAAATATATGAGATTTTGGGGAAACATTTTATATCTAAACCACAGAGGTACTAAGCTGAAACCCAAGGTTTCCACCAAAGAGATTTTGGACAGAGAGCATTTCCTCATGCTGTGAATCATAAGAGGAAAGTTATGTCCAACAAGTCTCTTACTATATGACTAGTGTAGTGCCTTCATCTGTTTTCTGTTGCTATAACAGAATACTTGAGGCTAGGTAATTTATTGAGACTAGATGTTTATTTAGCTCATGTTTTAGAGGCTGGGAAACTCAAGAACACAGCACTGGCATCTGCTGAGGGCCTTTTTGCTACATCAAAACATGGCAAAGGATATTATATAGCCAAACAAGCTTGTAACAAAGCCAAGAACATCCATTAATCCATTAATTCATGAATGAATTAATTCATTCTTGAGGGCAGAGACCTTATGGCTCAATCACTTCCCAAAGGCCCTATCTCCAAATGCCAGCAACATATGAACTTGGGGGTTAAGTTTCCAACACACGGAATGGGGGAAACATTCAGACCATAGCAGTGGGTGCCTGGAGCCAATTAATTGAACAGCATGCCTTTGGCAGGGAAAGATTCCAGACTATAGGAAAAATCTGATTCATAGAAAAAGGAGGAAGAGAAGACTCCATTGAAATGTGACCACCTGCTGTGATCTGCTGAGTCACCACCATTCAAAAAGATGTTGATGCAAACCACTGAAAACTGAGACCCCCCCCAAGCATAAGCTCTGATGTTCTATTGTACATCAGGGTGCCCATTGAGAATAATAATGTAATGTATAATTCAAAATATCCAGAAGAGGCATTTTGAATGGTCTCACCTTAAAGAAATAATGAATGTTTGAGGCATTGATATGCTAATTACTGATTTCATCATTGCTTAATATATGGTTTCATCAAAGTACCACATTTATTTACCATTATGTGTCAATTTTTAAAAAGTAAACTTTAAAAAAAGAAACTTGAGGAATGAGAATACTAAATTAATTGCAAGTTAGAATTCTCCCTACTCATTATGTATCCACTGGATGAGGAGTAAGTGACAATCCCTGGAATTAGTACATTGGTTTGCTGGGGCTGCCCTGACAAAGTACCACAGACCGAGTGGCTTGGACAACAGACAAGTATTGCCTCATAGTCCTAGCAGCTGGAAGTCCAAGATCAGGCATTCCCATGACCCGTTCTTTCTGAGGAGTGTGAAGAACGGCTTCCCTCCTTCTCTCCTAGCTTCTGGTGTCTGCTTCGGCCTTCAGCATTCCTTGGCTCGCAGAGCCCCTCCCCAGCCCCGTCTGCATCGTCACGTGACCGGCTCCCTCTGTGCGCGTTGTGTCCCACTTTCCCCTATGTATAAGGACATCAGTCATATAGAACAGGGCCTCCTTACTGCAGCATGACCACATCTTAGCTAATTAGTTCTACAAGGGACACTGTTTCCAGATAGGGTCACCTTCATTCTACTACCACTGAGGTACTGAGGTTGAGAACTTCAATGTGTGAGCAGCTGGGGGACACAACACAACCCATAAGAAATGGAGACATCAAGAAAATGTGTTAAACCTCCTTGTCCTATAGGAATGCAATCTAATAATCCTACTTTTTTAAAAAAAAGCATGAAAAATGCTAGCAAAGTGTTTAAAGCCATGCCCTTCCCAGAGCTGTGGTCCCATGGTTGTCATAGCAACATGCTCATCACCTCCAGAGGAGGCTGAGCCCTGTGACTCTCCGCTGGAGAAGCCACTTGTTTGTCAAAGCCTAACCAAGATGTTGGTCCAGCAGAATTTAGAAAAGGGCAGAATCCCACTGACTTCCAAAGTCACTGGTCACAAGCCTGGCATTTCTGCCAGTTCCTGTTCTCTTGGGTCCACAGCTCTGGTTTCCTTGGCCTCTTGGCACCAAGCAGTCTCCACCCTGTTTTAATTTTCACACCAAAGGCAGAAGGTGGACCAACCTGTCCCTTTCCTCACACAGGGTTCAGGAGGAAGGAATTCCGCGGGAAGCTGGCCATCGCCATCACCGCCAACTTCATCAACAGGAACACCACAGCTGAGGCCAAGGTGGAAGAGATTAGCGGAGTGGCCTTCATCTTCAATCAGAAGTTTTTTCAGGACCTGAAAGAAGAAACAGGTGAGCCTTCCATTTTCCGAAGCTGGCCCTAGTCTGTGATTTTTAATAAGCACAAAAGGGAATGCTGGCTTCCAGGGCTCCTGGGTTCAAATGTGTGGAAGCCGAGATTTCTCCTTTGAATGGCCAGGGTTCCTTCAAAGGACAAGAGAGGTTCTTGAGAGAGCCTTCTGGATATTGTATATGAAAATAGATAACAAACAGAGAAATTAAGTTCACATTTATTTCTTCAGTGGACATCTACCGAGTGCCCAGTGCTCTATGCCAGTGCTCAGGACTATGGATACAAAGTCAAGGCTGGCACAGCCCATTGGAACAAGCTCCCTGCTAGGGAGGAAACCACGTGCAGACGCCCTCAAGGCAGGGTGGTCAGGTATGCCAGGGCAGCTTTCTGAGGAGGAGCCAGCAACCAGTGGGTGGTACCTAAAGAAGCCTAGATGCTTTGTGTCCTGCGCTAACTGCCCCTTCTAATGAGGAACACTGAGGGTGGCCACTTGGCAGTCATTGTTATCAGCCATTGCCCTAAAGGACAGAAGGCACCAATTCACTCCACGGATATTTATTGAACACTTCCTGCTTGTCAGATGCTGTTCTTGGGCCCGAGTTGGAGCAGTGAATGAAACTAAATCCCACTCTCTGGGAATTACGTTCTGTGGGGTGGGTGGCCAGGAAACAAGCAAGCAAGTGATGCATCTGGTGATGATAAAGACAGTGAGGAAAACAAAGCAGGGACAGGGGAAAGAGAAGAATGAATCACCTTTCCCGTTTAAGTAAATTCCAGATTTTTTTCCTTTCTTGTTAACCTTACTAAAAATGTGTATTTTGCTTTGAAAAGGCAGTCTAATGACAATGTTAAATGCAGTCTTTATGCCAAAAATAAATCACCCCCTTGGGTCCACCTCATGCAGCAACAGCCCTCACGGCTGTAGAGTCCTCTTCAGTCGCTTCCCACCTGTACCCTTGCTTTTCCGGGTCTCCAGCACCAATCCTAGTCCCCACATTCTTTGCTGTTCTGTTTTGTTCATTCAGCATCGCGTATTAAATTTTGTCCACAGTTCTCATTGGCTCATTTAATGTCGCATAACCCTTCTCCTGGTCCCTTTTGGAAGGGTGTGTCAACATGTATATAAGCCACCTAAGTATTGAAGCTAGGAAGTGGCAGGCAGAATGTGGCTGGCCACATGTTTTGTGAAGAATGGAGATAGATAGATAGATAGATAGATAGATAGATAGATAGATAGATAGATAGATATATCTTTTTGGTACCGGGGATCGAACTTGGGTCCTTGTGCTTTCAAGGCAGGAGGTGGAACCACTGAGCTAAATCCCTGGCCCCAAAGGGCTGAAGAAAAAATCAAAAGGATAATATTTTGTGATGCAAGGAAATTATGTGAAATTCACATTTCAATATCCATAAGTACAGATTGGCTGTAACACAGCCATGCCCGTTTATTTACATGGTTGTCTATGACTGATTCTCCCATGAGTGCTTATGACAAAGACCACATAGCCCACAAAGCCAAAATGTTTACTCTCTGGCCTCTTATTAAAAAAAAAAAATCTGCTGACCTTTAATTTAAACCTTGCATTACTGTTCTAGGTGAAACTCCTTGTTGGATCTTTTGTCTAAGATCATTTTCTAGGAATGGGACTTGTGATTGAGCCAGATCATGCCTGTTTCTGGCCACAGTGATGTGTTCTCATCCCCTGACCCCCTGAGTTTCTCTACAGTAGCATTATTTTTTTGCCGTTGTTCTTCAATTTGTATTTTTATTAGTGTATCTTTGCAGTACATAATAATTATGTCCACATGGGGATCTAGTGCCTGTGCACAACACATCTCAATTCTTCTTTATTCCCTTCTTCTGCCATCCTCCCCACTCCCTGCATCTCTTGGTCCCCTTCCCATTTGCAAAAGATCTACCTCCCTGTTTCTTATTGTCTATCTTTTACTTTGCTCTTTATATATACTTTGGGTTTCTCATAGAAGAGAAGTCATGCAATATGTAAGCTCAGGAGTCGGATTCATTTTACTTAATACATGGTCTCAAGGTGCATCCATCTTCCTACAAATGATTCAGTTTATCCTTCTTTGTGGTAGAATAGTATACCACTGTGTGTAAAAATCACGTTCTCTTTATCCATTCACCTATCAGTGGGCAAATAGGTGTTTCTGAGTCTTAGCTATTATGAATTGTGCTGCTGTAAACATGACTGTGCATGTATCAGTGTAATAAGATATCTTCAGTGGGGAAAAAGGAGCCCATCTACATTGTTGGTGGCAATGTAAACTACTACAACATCATGGAAATTAGTATGACTATTCCTCAAAAAAATTAAAACTAGAAATTCCATTTGACCTCACTGTTCCCCTTCTAGCTATCTTCCAGTTGCATTATTTTTTTTAAGAGTTGTGGTATTTCCTTCCAGCATATTACGTCTTTTTAAATGATTTAAGAATTCCCTAACTCTTCTTTCCCCTCAAAATCCAAGAAGATAAATATTTAAACCACCAAATATAAATTATGGCAGGCCACTGAGTGTGTTTTTCCAAATATTTTGATGAGTTGCCTTTAAACTCTGCTGTGGTTGTCACCTTCGGCCATTGTTTCACAACTGTCCTCACACAGTGACAGCAGTGAATTTCCTCTGGTTCTTTTGGGGGCCCTCTGCACTGAGGGTTGTTTCCTCTGTAACTGTCCAAGGATGTTTCTGTGGTTACCCAGCATGCCTTGTGTGGGATGCTGATGGATTGTCAAGTGTTTGTTTCTTTCCCTTCAAAAAGCTGTGCCAGGGTTGGGAGTCTAGCTCAGTGGTAGAGCACTTGCCTAGAATGCAGGAGGCCCTGGGTTCCATTCCCAGCACTTAAAAAAAAAAAAAAAATAGCACCAAGCCAATGGTTTTCAAACTCAGTATGCATCATAGTCCCCTGGAGAGCTTGTTAAAGTACAAGGTGGTGGCCCTGTCCCGAGTTTCTGCTCCTGGGTCTGGAGTGTGGTCTTGATCACTTGCTTTTGTGCTAAGTTCTCTGATGAGCTGGTGCAGCTAACCAGGGACTGCTCTAAGCTCTCCTCTCACAGTACAGTTTTCAATGCAGAAACCTAGTCTTTAAGGGGGTTTTCAGTTGGCAGAAAGTACAAGACACAGCCCTGGACTCTAAGTGTAGTTGTCCTTACCAGTGCACCTGGGTTTTCACGTCCAAGCAGGAAGATGGAGGATTCCCACAGCTCTGCACAGCTCTGCCCACATGAAGGGCGTGGTAGATAGGACTTGTAGCCATACAGGCTTGGATTCTAATTCTACTGTGTCATTGCCTAGCTGCCATGGCCACAAGCACAGCCGGCACTCGGCCCCCTGCAACACTTCTTCCACAGCTCTGGTCCACAAATCCCTATGGACATTTATGAGTTTTAAAAGAAAACGTGTCTTCCTGCGACTATAAAAACTAACCGCTTTGACTTGGGAAACTTCTGGCCTCCTGCTTTGTCTTTCCCGGCCTCATGCCATATTAGTCTTAGAGATAAGTCTCGCATGAATATTCCACAGATAAACAGCGAGGCCTGTGATGAAGCCAAGTACAGTTCCTGGGCACGGAGGAAGTAAATGGAGTCTCTTAACGCTTCTCTTTTTAGGGATTGATCTAGAGAACATTGTTTACTACAAGGACTGCACCCACTATTTCGTCATGACTGCCAAGAAGCAGAGCCTGCTCGACAAAGGTGTCATCCTCAATGTATGTACCACCTGGATGTGACTGCCCACCTGTCTTTCTCTCTGTGGCCGGGGTGGGCAGCATCAGTGGCCACTGTGGGAGAGGACACTGTCCTGCCTGAACAAGGTCAGGAGGGGTCATGGGCCACATGCTCACTACTTCCCTTGCCCTCGGCATTGCATGGTCCTGCACCCCTACAATTGAGATGTCTCTGCGGAGGTGTGTGGTGCCTGGGGTAATGTGGATCAGCCGAGTCTTGGCCTTCCCCAAGTCTCATTCGGCCCTACCGCTGCTCTGCAAGGCCACATGTCACTTGGAGACAGATGGGGGTTCCTTGTTGTGCTGGGTCATACTTGTGAGTTTCTCACCGGGCCCCTTGTCATGACATGGGGAAAGGTCACCACTGATACTGTCAGAAAGACATGAGCTGAAGCTTGGCTCTGCCACACACTGAGTCGGGATCCTGAGCGGGCTGTTTTTATTTTTATTTTTTTCTGAGCCTCAGTCTTCACATCTGCCACATAAGAGTGATCGTTTCTATCTGTAAGTGTTCTTGAGGAGGGCAAGTAAATACAGGTGTTTGCACAGAGCGCCTAGCACCACCTGGTGTGTGGAGGGTGTGGAGATCCCCCCTTCACTTTGGCCTTCTTTGGATGCCTGCTCTTGGGTGCTGTGGACTTCTTGGCTTCTGCTTTGTGGCCCCGCATCTGCTAGTGTAAACGGGGAGCCGAGTCGGGAATGTTGGCAGCTCCATCCGTCAGCCTTCAGCCCTTGCAGAGCCCTATTCTTGTTGCTGCTGTTGCATCCTCAAGATAAGGATCATGCAGTCCCAGACCAGCTGCTCTCCGGGTGCCAGCCTAGTGCCCAGGCAGTTCAGGAAAGAACTGTCTTCTCACTAGCTTGTGCTGGCAGCCGCCCACAGGCTGGTAACCCAGCCTTCCCCCGGGTCTCCTCCATGTGGGCTTAGGTCTCTCTTTGCTGAGAACTGAGCCATGGCTGGAGGCTGCGGCCAGCTCAGGTACAGCTGATAGAGGATGGCAGCTGAGGTGTGGGCACTGGGCTTGGGCTCTGGAGCCCGCTTCTGGCTGTCAGTCTGGGAGGTGGCATCCTGTCTTCCCCTAGGTATTCCCCGAGGGTCCCTCCTTCTGGGCTGTGTCAGATAGGACAAGGTCAATCCAGGACACGGGTATGGCTGTGATGGGTGCCTTTGCAGAAGACGACCTGGGCAGTCAGGCAAAGCGTGATCCCCTAGCCAAGTTCTCCATCTCCTGGGATGCTAAGGTCACCCGCAGATCATCTCAAGGCCTTTGTCTTGCCCATGACATGTTGTTTATGGCACCTTGGCTCCCTAGAAGTGGTCAAAACCCCTGCATGTTCCCATCTCAGGCTGTCATGGGACAGGTGGATGAGGATGTCTTGCTCTGCTCTCATTGTGACCCTGGATGAGCTGGGTCATTCCAGACCCTTCTCCCTCAAGGAAGAACTCCCCTGAGCACCGCCTCCTTACTCTCACCTCCACTCAGGGGTTCTCCTTTTGCCATCTGAGACCCCAGGGCAGGTGGGTGCCCATGCACGTCCAGCCTGGAGGTCTCTCTGCGCCGGCTCCCCACAGTACTGCTTGGGGTGCCTGCACCAGACAGTGTCTTCACTGTATGGTGTCTGTGCTCGCAGCTCACCTGGTCCCCTCCTTGGGGGCTGGGCCTGATGCAGGGAGGGGAGCGTGTGAGGTCACTCTGTTTGCTCTTCCCCTGTCTCATCTCCACACCTTCAAGGACACCGGTGACCACATGACTCTAGAAACGGGTACCAAACAGAAACTCCATCCTGACCCTGCGCTCCTGGGCTGATGCTGAATACAGTAATGGGGGGGTGGAAATATTAGATTTTCCCAAACAATGTATTTGAAGTCAGAAAGCTAAGACAAGAGGTCACTGGGTGCGGATGAGGCTGTGCCTTGCTGAGTCTCAGTGACAACTCACTGTATGCTCCTTTCTGTGCCGATCTGAATTACTGGGGCAGGCATTCCCACTCCCTGAGCACATCCTCCCTGCCAGGCAGGGGGTTGGATGTTTTGTGTATACAGTGTCAGACAGTCTTCATGGCTCTGAAGTACATTTTATTATTCCCATTATACAAGTGAGAAAATAAACGCAGAACTAAGTCAAACAACTTATAAAACTTGTATACTAGATCCCTGAGTTACAACTGGCCAGACATATGAACAACTGGGGTTACAACTGGAATTTTAGGGTGTTTCATTTTGTTTTGTACCAGGTATCAAGCTCAGGACCTTGCCCTCTGCAAGGCAGGTGGTAGAGCCACTTAGCTAAATCCCGGCCCTTTGGGATTTTAGTTTGGACTTACAAAGTCTTGAGTTATGACCCAAATGCTGGCAATTTATGCTTCCAAATGGCTGCAGATACAGATTTAACCCTTAAAGATTTCTGAACATTACAACATCCTTTCCTTTGTGGGGTTAAATGAGAAGCCCTGGGCCAGTGTCTCTCTAAGGACACTGAGAGCTGCCTGTATACAGGAGAGAGACTTGGAAGGCTGTGTAGAAGAATTTGATCCTTCACTGACCAACTTGAGTTACAACCAGCCCTCACAAACAAATGTAGTTTGTAAGTCAGGGGTCCACTGTAGTTAATGAGCAGCTGGGATAGAATTTGACCCATTGCACTGGCTAACCTCACAGGCTGCATTCATCTTATACCCTAGTCCTCCCCGCTGTGGTGTGCCTACTCTTTGTACCATCTTTGGGAAACGGGCCTTTTAGCCTCTTTGCCACAGGATGACCAGGCTTTGAGCAGACCAGATTCTGAGAATACTCTAAACTTTCTGCATTCTCTGACATCCTGTCTGACATCACCAGCATGGGTTTCCTAATCCTCTAAGCTCAGTCTCCATCCCCAGGAGGGAAGTAGAACAAGGAACACCATAATCACAACACCAAGCTGTACGCAGCCCTCAGCCTCACCGGAAGAGGAGTAATTGAATCTGGAAAGGAAGCAAGAGAGTTATGTCAGACACCTATTTTTTTCTTCCTGGTCTTGTTTGACTGCTAAGCACAGCATGTCTGGAGCACATTAACTTAACGCAATCCATTATTGTCACTTCACTGACTTGCTCTATTGTCTTTTAATCATGTTAAAAGGTATCGCAAGAGCCAGCCATAAAAAATGTGTTCCTTTTTTGTTGCAAGACCATTACAAAGAATACCGTTCATGACAAATCTGTGTTCTCTCTTGAAATTCCGAGTGAAACAGATCTTTTAGAATTTAGTGCCAGGAAAATATTGCCTCCCCGAGGAATTGCTGCGCTTCCTTCTCTCTGATAAGGAAAGCCCTGTAACATATCACATTTCCCTTTTGCCTTGGATGCCAGGAAGCCCAGCGCCAAATTTGATGTTAACCCTCACAGCTGGCTCATTTGCTTCTGCTTTAAGTCCCCTCGACTCTGACTTTCTGTGTCTGCTTTGACTAGCCTCACTGAATAGACCTATTCCCAGTCCTTTTGCGTGGGAGTAGATATGAATCCCATCCCCTTGGAGATGCAGTTGCTGTACCGTGTTTTGATCTTCCCCAGGACTATGTGGACACGGAGATGCTGCTGTGTGCAGAGAATGTGAACCAGGACAACCTGCTGTCCTATGCCCGGGAAGCTGCAGACTTTGCCACCAACTACCAGCTGCCGTCCTTAGACTTCGCTATGAACCACTACGGGCAGCCCGACGTGGCCATGTTCGATTTCACCTCCATGTATGCCTCGGAGAATGCCGCCCTGGTGCGCGAGCGGCAGGGACACCCGCTGCTCGTGGCCCTCGTGGGCGACAGCCTGCTTGAGGTATTGCCCGAGTTTGGAGCCCCTCACTCCTGCTGCCAGATTCCTGAATTTAGGCTCTGCCTAATAGCATTGGCTGTTGCTGTCACGCATGCCCAGGAGGGACAGGCTCCCGCCCAGAGGTGGATCCTGCCAAGGCTGCCTGGCCCCAGGGCCCACCCTTTCACTCAGCTTGTGTGCAGGTGGCAGAGCTTTCTCCCCTAACTTGGGCTTTTTCTGGGCTGATTTTATTGAAGTACAAAATTGGGCAGCCCTGTCTGGACCACAGGGCCACCCCTCTCGGAGCCTGGAGCTGGGCTGAGACTTCTTCATGGTGTGGGTGACCCTGCAGCCTTTCAGTGTGGATATCTCACAGGGTACAAGAGAGGCGTGGGAGCCCTGAAACCCAGTTTTCCTGCCGTGGCCTCCTTGCTCAAATCTGCAAGCACAAGGACCCTTAGATTAAATGAATATTTTCAGAAGAGATAAAATTTTATCTTAATGTAAGCACTGAACAAACAGTGTTTCTGTATTTATCCCAGGTTAAGAGTCAAATTCCAACCCATGTTTTGTGGGTGCTGGTGGAGCGAGTTAGATGCGGCTCGGCTGAACGGCTCCTTGCTCAGCATTGTGGGTGGATGCACAGCTCAGCCACCCCCCTCCACGCACTGCTCCTGTGTACTGCGCTACATACGCCCCAACACCAGGCTCCTCTCCCATCGGGCTCCAGCATTTTCTAGGCACTGTGGCTTTGCCCACACTGCTCCTCTGGCTCCAATGGCTCACGATTAGAATCCTACCCAATCTTTAAAATCAGCATAAATACACCTCTTTCATGAAGTGTTTCCTGATTTCCTTCTCCCTCTCCTGGACCCCTCAGCAGCTGCACTGTACGTGTGTCACAGCACCCTCGGCAGCTACAGCTGCGTGTGCTTGTAACAAACCATATACACGACAGGGCTCCTGCCCTGTCACCTCCCTGTCCCTCCAGTGCCTTGCTTGGGGCTGGCAATCTGAGAGTGCTGGGCATGACGGGACAGTACACTGGGAGGCATTCGTATCATCTGGAAGTTCGCATGTGTTCTTTTGCAGCCATTTTGGCCCATGGGCACAGGCTGTGCCCGTGGCTTCCTGGCAGCCTTTGACACAGCGTGGATGGTGAAGAGCTGGGACCAGGGGATTCCTCCCCTAGAAGTGCTGGCTGAAAGGTGAGTTTTGAGAGCAGAGCTCCTGGCACAAGGCGGGCTGGGTCACAGTCTCAGGCATGCACTAGGTCAGAGCAGCTGTACCTGGAGTCTCCATCTGGTGCTCCTCTACCTTCCTACACATGGCCTGATTGCATCCTCAGGTCCTCAGGGACTCTCCTTCCTGGTGCACCTCCTTCTCTGACCTCCTATGGTGACCAGGGTCTTAGGCCCTGTGTGCCCAACATAAATCTCCCTCCAGGGTAGCCTTAAAGTTGGGGCTTGCTGACGTTTCTCATTCACCTGAGGCACAGAGGAAGTTTATTTAAGGGAGCCTTCCAGGAGCAGGATGGCACTGGGTGTCCTGTCCTGGGTGGGGTTCTTTGGCCTCCCAGGCCTCTTCCATGGCTAAGATTCGGGCCTCTTCCCAGACTCCAGCTGTTGGCCATGTGGCTGTGGCTGTGGCAGCTGGCGGACTCAGAGAAGTCAGTGTGGTAGGGGAGGGTGTAGAGGCCTGTGGCCTTGGGGGGCTGGCTGCAGAGAGCGATGTGGCTGTTATGATTACAGAGGAAACGCAGGTCACTGAGCTTCCAGCCCTGGGTCCCTGCCTCCTGCCTGGGGGAGGAAGCCAGCATCCTGCCACCCAGACACGCCTCCCCCCACCCCTCTGACCCTCCTCCCATTTTGTAGACCTAAGAACTGAGTGCCAGGTGTGCCAGGGGAGGGTTAAACAAACCCAGCCAGAACTTTGGATCCAGGGTTGTGGGGGAAAAGAGGGTGGGGACAGGGACCTGAGGTGGCAACTCGTGACCTCTGTGCTCTGCTTCCCTTCAGAGAAAGTCTCTACCGGCTGTTACCTCAGACAACTCCAGAGAACATCAACAAGAACTTTGAGCAGTACACACTGGACCCCGGGACGCGGTACCCAAACCTCAACTCACATTGTGTCCGGCCCCATCAGGTAGGCCCATCCCTGGGGCCCTGCCTGGGTCACCGCACTGACTGGAGGGAAGCGAGTCTCTCACAAAGTCTTGGCACTGCCCCAGGACTGAGGCCAGCAAAGCCTGTTGGCCCAAAGCAGGGGCCAAGTCTCCTCCTAGGAGATGCAGGAGTACAAAGCAGACAGCATTCTTTCTTGCCCACAGGAGGCGCTAAAACATGCGGGGGTGTGTCTATGCATGTTTATTTATATATGTGCATATATTAACACATGTTAATTAGTCACTGTGCATATGTAATATGATTTTGCTCCTCTCAAATAGTCTACTAAACCAAATATTTTCTTTCTTATCACTCATGGTCCCAGACTCTATTGTTTCTCCCTTTGATTCAGACCCACCCAGTCCCCACTTTCTTCAGTCACTACAGCAGAGAATGGTGTGATTTTTTTAAAATTAGCCAATGAGATTCATTCACTCTTCAGTTCCCCCTTGTTTGGGTGAGCCATTGAGGACCCTTGTCTATGCCCCATTTTCCTGGGGCCCCACACAGCAGTGCAGGCCAACAGTGGGGCAGGCAGCAAGTAGTACATAGGTTGAACAGAGGCCTGAAACTGTCACTCGGGAAAGAGGTGGCCGTGTATGCAGTATCTCTTCCTTGTAGGTGAAGCATCTGTACATCACCAAGGAGCTGGACTGCTACCCTCTTGAGAGACTCGGCTCAGTGAGGAGATCTGTCAACCTCTCCAGGCGGGGTAAGTCACCCTCCTGGGACCCTGGCCAGGTAGGTCGCTGAGAAGGGCTTTGCAAGGCGGAAGTCTGTCCCGGAGCCCTGCAGATGCGGCTCTGCAGCCTGTTACTTGTGTGGCCCTGGTCAGACATTTCTCCTCTCTGAAAGAGCGCTGAGCTTCCTCGTTGGAATGACTGAGGGCAGGACAGCCCCTTCCTGCAGGAACACTGTGAGAGTTAGAGAGTCAGTGTTTGTCGAGCACTTAACATGGCAAAGCGAACTGCAGAATGTCCTTGCAGGCTTGTTCTCATTTTCTCCTTGTTCCAGTGTGGGGAAGCTCATCTTCCCACTTGGAAGACAAGCTCTGTAGGCTTCGCCCTGCTTCTGTTCCTCCTAGGCCCAGCACAACGCTGAGCATGGGCTAGCGCTTGATGGCAGGAGCAAGGATGACTCTGAGTAACTTGGCCCCCAGTTTCTCTCAGGTCCCTCTCTGCCCAGAGACACTCTGGCTACCTCTGCCTGACCAGACCTTGCTGCCCCCTGGTTAGCAAAGCCAGCCTTCCTCCCTGCTTTCCTCTGCACACTGCTATAATACAGTTTACTGTAATAAAGCATTTTACTGTCATTCAGACATGCCAGGGATTCTACATTCTTGCCACTGCACAGTCCTGTTCTCTTGGAATGCTTCCTTCTAGCCAGTGAATTCCTGTCCCTCCTTAAGAGCCAGCTCCAGTGCACCTGCCTGGATGCTTTCTATGGAGAGTGTCCCTGGCTTGGCCAGCTCAGGGCAAACCTGCTCATGTGCTATCCAGCGTGGCTTCTCTGCCTTGCAGCACCATGTCCTCATCACCCACTGCTATAGACAGAGTCTGTGTCCCTAGCCTCCAACCCAGGGCCTGGCCACTGTCCTGCTAGGGGACAGTGTGCTTCTTGTTGAGCATCTTGTCCTTCAGGCAGCTCTTGAGCCAGTTCCCACAGAGCATGCCCCAGAGGGCTGTACCCAGCCTTGCTATCTTGCCTTGCTGCAAGATTCCTCTGGTCCCGAGCAGTGATGGCACTAGGAGGGGAAATACAGAGGGAGCTCCTGAGATCCTGCAGACCTCACTGCCTGTGCTTCCTCCCTGTAGAGTCAGATATCCGGCCCAGCAAGCTCTTAACCTGGTGCCAACAGCAGACTGAGGGCTACCAGCAAGTCAGTGTCACTGACCTGACCACATCCTGGCGCAGCGGCCTGGCCCTCTGTGCCATCATCCACCGCTTCCGTCCAGAGCTGATGTAAGTCTGGGGCACCGGCTGAAGCCTGGAAACGAGGGGAACTGAGGCCTCTCTGCTGGATTCAGGACCCCCACAATACTCCTAATTCAGGGGCTTCTCTGCATATTTTCAGTAGAGTTTCCTCTTCCTCTTGTTCTTTCCTTGTGCATGGACTGTGCCCTGCCAGTAGCATTTCTGATCGTGTCCCTGGTATAGAAGGATAAAACTGGGCATAGGCTCGGTGACTGCTTTGCACCCCAGTTGCCACACTTTGGCAATTGAGCATTTGTACCTTGGAGCCCTGCCTCAGGAGAGGAAGAAGGGGCACAACCTAGCTTTGAGGGCCAGTGTGAGGGTCCTGCAGACTAAATACTTAGGTACGGCATCCAGATCTACCAGCTGGCTGCCACTGGGCGGCCACAGCAGTTCTCTGAGCTTTAAGTTCTCCACCTTGTATTGGGAACAATGGCTGGGCCTTGGAAGACTGAATTAATGTGTGAAACACTTCAGAGAAACAAAAAGAAAAGGGACCCATAAATGTTCCATCTTCTGATGTTTCTTTCGAGCCCCAGCTCCATATATGATCATGGCCCATGTTCTATTGGGTCCCTTCCTTAGTGACAAAGGTGGACAGGTGGCATCTTCTGAGGCGGTGATATAGGGATTAGGTACAGGGCAGGGGTCTCCAGTGCCTGGCTAAGCATCAGCCCCAGTGTTCCCTATGGATAAATGGTCTTAGCTCATCCCACCTAATCCTGAACTTCTTCTCCACACTGTAATGATTCTCCAGCAACTTTGACTCTTTGAACGATGATGATGCTTTAAAGAACAACCAGCTGGCATTTGATGTGGCTGAACGTGAGTTTGGGATCCCTCCGGTGACCACTGGCAAAGAGATGGCATCAGCCCAGGAGCCCGACAAGCTCAGCATGGTCATGTACCTCTCCAAGTTCTACGAGCTCTTCCAGGGCGCCCCGCTGCGGCCTGTGGGTGAGCACCTGCACCGGACTTTACCCAGCCCCTGGGCCTCCTCTGTCCTCAAGTCCAGGTCTGGCTGCTCCTGACACTGATGTCGTCTGCCCTGCAGCTGCCCAGTGCCTTCCCTTTGACTTGATGCCAAATGGGGACTCTGGACTCTGTGTCCGGAGTCTGTCTGGGGTACCATGAAGGGCTCCCCTACTCCATCATGGGGAGGTCACTGATAGGTCCCAGAAGTCCCCCTGCTTAGGCCATTTACAACTTCAGTTCAGGGTATGGGACTTTTGTTAGCGGGACCTTAACACACAGCACCCTGCTTGCAAACAACACCTCCTGGGCCCAGAGATCCAAATCTCAGTCGTGCTTTTACTTCCCAACAGATTCTTGGCGCAAAAGCTATGGAGAAAATGCCGACCTCAGCTTTGCCAAATCCTCCATTTCTAATAACTATCTCAACCTCACACTTCCCAGGAAAAGGACCCCTCGGGTAAGCTTCAGGCGGGTTTGGTTTGCTTGCTCACTGCACATGGACACATGGCCAGGGTAAAAGGAGGGAGAGTTTCCTGGCCTTAGCCCATAAGTGCTGATGAAGCACTCACAGATGATGTACACAGAACATGGTTTAGTGGCCGAGTGTCTGGAAGCTCTCCCTGGCTCTGGGGAGCTGCTTTAGTGACTTATTAGTTATAGGAACTGAGTTCTAGGATACTAGAAAGCACAGAGGACACACTGGTGAATATTTTTTAAAGTAAACCAGATTACTTCTTGTCCTACACAGTTGCAAGGAGATGATCCCTACTTTCTTGGTGAAGCAGTTTAGATCAGGGACACAGTGGCTGAAAGGCACAGTAATGACCTTATGTTTACACATCTGTTGCGTTAATGTTGTTTCATCCATCCATCCAATAAGTGTTGACTGGGACCTATTATATACCAGTTTTAGGGCTGTCACATTTGTTTATTTTTGGCAAGAGAAGCAAATATGCAAAAGTGAATAATACATGACTTTGGCTTTGAGGAGCTCAGCTTCTAATAAATAAGTTTCCAAGCTTATCTATTCCAAGCTAGCACGCTGAGTGTGTGTGTGACTTTTGTCACGGTCCCGTTCGCCAGCATCTCAGTGGGAGATACACGTCTTCTTGGGTAATGTGCTCACTTTACAGACACAAAAGGAGGCCGGAGAGGCTCGTGCCCTGCCCCAGGTGACACACTGTTTCACGGTCCATGGCTTTGCTTTGCCCTATACCGTGCGTCCTTCACCACTCACTGGTTTATTCATTAAGAGGTGTTTACTGTGTGTCCCAGGGTGGGACACACAAATGCAATGCTAGGCTTGGCCTTAGAGTGTAGGTGGGAAGTAAGAGACGAGCAAGGCTAAGAACCTCAGAGAACAGGAGAATTCAAGAGGCTGGCAGAGGCAGCGTGGCCAGGAGAGAAGATGAGGAGGGATGGTCAGAGGCAGGAAGGGAGCTGGACAACCCAGGGAAGAGAGTGTGCCCACGGGACGCAGCAGGGGACACTGGGAAGCCAGGCAGGGTGAGAACTGAGGATGGGCTGTGCTATGCGCTCTGGGGAGGCAGGGCAGAAGGCACGCGTCAGGGCAGCAGGACTGCAGTGTGTGTTTATGGGTGACCGCGGGGACAGAGCAGAGGGACCACGGAGAATGGGGCCAGAGCCTGGCCGCTGGCTGAATCTGCCAGCCTGGGAGGGCGGTGGGACGTGCCCCACCCGCACCTCATCGTCCTCCAGCCTCAGCACACCTCCGTGCCTCCCCAGGCCTCCTTCCCCTGCCTGTCTGTGCCCAGGGAGCAGTGGGGCTGCCAGGCCTCCTTCCCCTCCACCGTGTGAACAAGGGGCAGTTTCCCACCGAGGCTGCCCTCCAGCTTCCTGGGATGCTGCAGGAGCTGTTCGCTAAGCCTTGGACCAGGAGTGCTTCATGCTCCGTGCCTCTGACCCTCCCTGGCTCTAGGGAGGGATGGGCTGCAGGGCCAGGCCTGGGCGAGGGAGGCTTTTCACAAAGCCCTGACACCCTCAACTGTTCCTCCCTGTTGCCATCCACCCCGGAGCTCTCTGTGCGGGCTGCACTGCCCAGTGTGAGCCCCACCAAGTGCGCGCTATGCTCTGGAGACCAGCTGTGTCTCCTTCCTCCTCTAGCCTGGCCGATTTTCCCGGGAAGTCTGAGGAGCCTCCGTTCAGGCTGCCGCACCCTTCTCAAAGCACTGCATCTTCCTGGAGCTCTGAGCCAGGCCTCGGTGCCTTTGTGCACTTTCCCTGTTCCTCCTACCACTTAGCTCCTCGGGCAACTGGACAGGGATGTGTGACCCTCTTCACTCATCACACCTTGTGTACAGAGTGACCAAAGTGAACAGCTAGACCAGCTGCGGCTCAGGAGGTAGGCTGGGCAGAGGCCAGAGTCAGAGGCCAGCCAGGCCCTTGAGGGCTGCTGGGGCCACACTCACTCCCCTGGCCCTGCTGGGAAGCCCTTGGGAGCTGGGCCTCTGCCAGAGGTATTTAACATCTGAAATTTCCCCCATTCTTTGCACAGGTAGGGAAATCTGGCATGGAATTTATTTATCTTTCTGTCTCTTCCAAACAGTAGAGTGTCCCCTCTGGTGGGCAGGGGGATTAAGAAATACTAGGTCACATTCTGAGTCACCAGAATCCCCTCCATGCTGTCCAGACGTGAAAGCGCCTCCTCCCATCTCTGCCACATGTGTCCAGTCACTTCCGTGGTTGGGGAGCCTGTTTGCAATGCTCTCAGAAGTTAATATTTCCCGCACCAGAGTGCCAAGTCCACCCGGCCTGGTCTGCCCAGACACACAGGTATCTCCACTCAAGAGATTGAAAATGCCACACACTGGCCTCTCTGCAGGAGGCTGCACCACAGCTACGCGGTGCCGGGGCTACGGTTAGATGTGCAGCCCCAACACTGGAGCTCACACGCCTTAGAGGGATGGAGGTAGAGGCCAGGCCGAGTGGGAGCCCTGCAGGCCCACAGTACCTGCGCATCTAAGTACATCAGTGTTCAGCCTCCCTCTGCGCCCACCCCACCGACACCTCTGCCCCTGGATGGAGCAGCAGCTGCATTTCACTCAATGTCCCATCATACCCTGAAGAGGATTCAGCAATCCCAGCAGGGCAGGTCTTCAGAAGCTCTGGATTTCACTGTGGATATTGAATTCTTTCTTCCCTAATCTCATCTTCCTGACAACATCTAAATCCCAGCAAGACTTACCAACTTCAAACAGAGTGGAAGACATTTTCTCCATGGAGGACCTTGTTTACTTTTAGTGAGAATGACTTTCCCACCCACCATGAGCCAAGGCCCATTGGGTTAATTAGCTCTGAAGACTGCGGTGAGGCCTGGGAAGAGGCGAGGGCTTGAAAATTACATTTTCCTCTTACAAAGACCATGATCTGCTTCTATAACTCGTGCCTGCGATCCGGGTCAGATCTAAAAGCTTCTTTTCTTATTGTTTGATTTTGTTTTGTTTGTGAGATGAGTCTGGCTAAATTTCCCGGGCTGACCTCAAACTTGAGATCTTGCCTCAGCCTCTGGAGCAGCTGGGATTACAGCTATGTGTCACCATGCCTGGTTAAAACCTTCCTAGCATGGGACACTTCCCTGGAGCTTTAAGGTTCTTGTCACCACACGTACAGGTGACACTTGAACCTGTGTCCTTAGGAGCTGTCGTTTCTGCATTTCTGTGTGTGCGCGCACACTCATACTTGTGCCACCTGTCTGAATGCTGCATATGGACAGTGCTTGTGTTTATGGGCATTACAGCCCTTCTGCATGGTACATTTTACATGTGTACATATGCCGGTGTCAGGGTTATGCCCCGTTCCAAATCCATCCCCAGAGAACAACAGAAAAGCTGTCACCTGCCCTGAAAAGCTCATCCCAGAAGCCAAGTGAGAAGTCTCGGGATTTGTCCTGCTGGCCAGGTGCTCTCCTCCAGTCCTGGTCCCTGGTAGGGTGGAGTTCGCACACAATGCTCTCTCCTGTGTACATGCCTGGGCTGTGGGGTCCAGGCCCAATCCCCAGTTCTCCTGTCCTCTATAACAGCCAAAGGTGTTATGCAAAACAGTGCTGCTTCTATCTGTCTATTCGTTACTTCAATAACTGTTTATTGAGCATCTGTTTCAGGCTGAGCTCTCTTCCCACGGCTGAGGATAGAGTAGAGCAAGCAGGGAGCTCACCTTCTAGAGGGACTTACAAGGCTTCTCTCATGTCCCTTCCACAACTTTTCTCTTGGAACCCTGCCTGCCCCACAACAAGTAGCTAATGCTCCCTCTAGCTTTCTGGTCCTTCTCGTGGCTGAGAAGGCCTGGGAGGTTGGGGGACTGTCTTCCAAGGCTAGGCAGGCACAGGCCTCTGAGCAGCCCCAGGGCCCGGTGGTCTGCATCCCACTTTCCAGCTGGCGTCTCTGCTTCCCGTCACACACCCTCTGCCCGGAATGTGAGCAGAATTAAGAATGGGAGTGTGATTGGGAGCCAGGCAGATAAACGCACCCTCAAGCCTTCTGGGGACTGGGGAATAGTCTAATCTCTCAGACAGCGTCCCTGTCTGCCTGCAAAGGGAGGGTAGCAACATATTCAAGGGAGCACTGCTGCAAAGATGTTGTGTGTGGGGCGTGCCGCAGGCCTGGCCTCGGAAGGGACACGGTGATGACGTCTCCCCGCCTTCAGGGCTGCCCTCCATTGCAACTGCTTGCTTTCTGAAAAGATAAGGAAGGCTGTTCGGATGGAGCTTTGGTTCTACCCAGCAGCTGCGAGCCATACAGCACTTCCCAGCCCATAGAGCATGTCCACATTTGTGTCTCATTCACCCCTCGTGTGGGCTGAGGAGGAGGGCCGGGATCACACCCTCGTCCCCATTTCATAGATGGGAAAACATGAACTTGGGGAGATTGAATTTTGCAATCAATGGTAGCAAGCATCAAGGCCCAAATTCTAGTACAGATGTTTACATTTCTGTTGCTAAAACTCACCCACTAATATGGCTAACACTGTCATAGTTTAAGTGATATATATATATATATATATATTAGTTATTTTTCTAGACAAAAATGTTTTGTCAACTTGACTTTTTTTAGATATGATATCTTCAGATACTCTAAATATACCATAGGTACTTTAGTGGTGGTAAAAATACATATAGCTCTTTATATTTCTGCCACTGAGAAGATGTCTACTGAGGGGCTTAGTCTTTGATTTATAAAACATGATCCAATGAATCTGTAGGCCAGACACCAGCAGTAAAACACATTCTAGGCACACGTATACTGCAAACTTAGAATATATACGTTTCTTTATTTCATTTTAGTTTGTTTCTATTTAGCAGTAATATATATATATATATCTGCTACTTCATGAATTCTCAGAACACCTGTGCCAGACAGCACAAGCCTCCTCCCTATAGGAAAAGAAGCCAGAGCTGCTAGGTGCCCATCCTAGGGTCACGCAGCTGGGAAGTCATTAGTACAAGAGTGCTGACCTGGAATTCCTTGAGGGACACACTCCCTTGCTAGTTCTACTGCTCATTTTCCTAAATACCATAGCTGCTACCTGACTCAAGCAGGCTGGGCCAACCTCTATCTCTTTGACCTAGACCGCAGCCTCCACCAGAATTAGGCTGTACGAGCAAACTCAAGCTTGTTTACTTGGAGCCCTAAATCCCATGAACTCAGGCGGTATGGGAACATGGTTATCTTACATTGGTCAAATAAATGATCCTATTGGCAGATACATACCTTTGCTTTAAAAATAAAAAGGAAACCAATGAGTTTAATAAATGCCTTTTGACATATTGAGTCTTCCAAATCCTTGGGAAATCATGATAAGGAAGCATTCTTAGGGTGAGAGTTGGGCAGAGTACCAGGAAAAGCAAGTAACTTCCATTGTTCTCATATACTCCTTGGCTGGGCACGAAAAGGATCTGCTGCCTCTTTGTGCTTCCAGTTCTCTGTAGACCACGATAAGGTCCAAGAGGTTGTGGGTTCTGAATCAACTTTGGCTTCTGGATCAGAAGGAAAATCAGATACATCTCAAGATTTGGATTTTCTTGACATTTTTGTTGGAACTTAGATCTGAGTTAAGAATTTGTGCTTCAGTGATGCAGTGGACCCTTGACTTAGGAACTTGATTGGTGGCAGAGGGCTGGCTGTAACTCCAGTTGATGAAGTCAGTACAGCTGAGATCTGGGTGTTTACCTGGGTACCCACTATAGATGACAGGAGGCAGACGAATCTTCCCTTAACCTGATTAACATACGTTGTTTGTATGTCAGGCAGGTCTTAACTTGAGGGTCCACTATAAATCCATTGGGAAAGGTAGATGCTGTTTGGGTATGGGTGTTGCTGACTTTCCCTTTGGGCTGCATTTTACTGCCTTGGGTTCAGGGGGATAGATCTAAGGACAGGAAGTTGCCCCTTTCCTCTCCTCCCAGGATTTGGGGTCTTCCTAGGAGCTGCTGGCTGGGGGTGCCTTCTGGGAGCCCATGGGCAATCAGGCTGGATGGGGCTTGTCCAGGTTCTGATGGTGTAAACAGTGCCACCCCAGGCTGATGTGTGTGAAAGAGTAAGATGCATTGCTCTTGGGGGCAAAAGCCAAGTTCTTGTTTAAGGGGAAAAATTAAGCCTAAGCATGAGGCGTTCAGCTGGGAAGGACGTTCTGTACTTTCACAGGCCCCCATCGAAGGGCCAGAGTGCCATTCACAGGCGTGGAGCTGGGCGTCCAGACGGCCTGTGCGTCTCAGACCTAACTGTTGAAAATAAGGTCATCTGTTTCTCTTGGTGTTTGCCCAAGATTTTGGGCTGAGATTATTTCCATTCACAAAATAATGATTTATGAGAAGCTGAGGAAAATGTTGGAGGAAAGACAGAACCTTTTGATCTGTTGTTTTGTGCTGCCTGGGTCGAATTTTTGAACAAATATCAATGACTAAACTGTGGTTGATCTGTTCTTTTTAAAAATATAAAAGGTGCTGGTAAACATGAAAGGGTGGGGCAATTGGGAACATTTGTTGGGAGAAAGTGAGTGCATAGGTGGGGTGCCCGGGGCCACTGCAATTTCAGAGTGGCTGGGGGACAAGGACAGTAGAATCAGGATGTGTGGGGTTGCTTGTGCCAAGGTGAGTGGGCGGCAGGAAGTCCTCCTGCTGCTCCATGGGATGGGAAGGCCAGGATGGTATCTGGGCCTGCTGCGGGGTGACTGAGGACAGGGGACTCTGCAGAAGGGACACAGAGCTGGTGGGAAGCAGTCCCCTAGGATTCCCTAGAAGGCTTCGAGGGTCCGGGAGAGCCATGTGGAGGATGAGCTCAACCACCGGGGTGCAGAGGAGGCCCTGAATCCAGCTGCCACGTCCAGCCCAGCCCCTCACTCCCCCAGAATAACCTTCTCCATTCCCCCCAGCCACAGCGAGATGGTTTTCTGAATCCAGATGTCCAATTCAGGCAACAGAGCATGGGCTTGGAGGGCCTGTCTGTAGGGCAACCATGAAATGTGTTGTGTGAACCCAGATGCTTTGAGCGTGATGGGGTGCACTGTTGATAATCATGCCTCGGGAGGGAGGCAGTTCATCAGAACTGTCCTGGGAAACTGGGCTGCGCGGTCCCTCTAGTTCTCAATCTATAAGTAATGCTTATTGGAAAGTAATAAAATATTGTGATGGTGACTGAGTTGTGGACTAAAATGCCACCCTGGACAGCTCATTTGAGTCCCACCCCAAGGTCACAGTGCAACAGAGGCAGCCCTGCCTGGTCCATGTCACCAGGCCTTTGGGATATAATTCCCAACCCTTCTGAGCAGACCCCTGGCTCCCTAGTGGAGCAAGTTTCTTCCACTGTGACCACAGGTCTTGGATAGCATTTGTCATGGTGCGGGGCCACTTTTCCACGTCTGCCATCAGGCCGGCAGCTGTTCGCAGGCAGGGACGCATCTGTGCGCTCTTTTAGTTCAGGGCCAACGCTGTGGCCTCAGGGATGTGGGTGGAAATGAAGCCCTTGGCAGCCACGACTTACCGCGCTTTCTTCGCCATTGCAGGGAGACGCCCAGACAGAAGAGAATGACATGAACAAGCGCAGGCGGAAAGGCTTCATCACCCTGGATGAGGATTGTGTGCGCAGGGTCAGTGTAAACAAAGGCCCGTTTCCTGGCAACCAGGGGCTTGGGGCTGCCCATTGTGCAGCAGCCTTGGCATTTCGTTCTTCCTCATGAACTACTGAATTCCAGGCTTGACTTGATGGCAAAAAACCAGAGTTCTGATCCTCACTTCACTACTTCCTAGCTATGCACCCTTGCAGAACATAGCTTCCAGGGGTGGGAGTCTGGTCTGTAAAATGGAACGAGTGACACACTTGAAATGTAGGAACCTGCAGGAATTCTAAAGATCAGTAAGACGAGGTATGTAACACACTGAATATGGCACCTGACACATGTGTCAATGAATAGTGAATCACTAGTAAGTAGGACAGAGGCCCACTTTTCTCCAAGTCGCTGTTTTTTTTCTTTACAGTCTTTTGAGCCAAATATCCTATAGCCTATAGTGCCACTGTCTGGTGAAAAAGAAAAATTGCAGGCACTTTAGTCAAAGAGGGAATCTCGAGCCTGCTTCTGAAAAATTGGTCAGCAAAAGAAGAAATAAGCTCCTGCTTTGCCAGGCTGCAAGTAAAATATGCTTGAGATATACAGTTCATTTTGAAAAGCCCTTCTAGTTCCACAAAAGCAAAAATACATGTCAACGAAATGTAGGCTGCAAGCTTTTGCTAGCCTATTGGTGATGACAGATGATTTAGAGCTGGGTGTGATGGCACGTACCTGCTATCCAAGCGGTCTGGGAGGCTGAGGCAGGAAGATCACAAGTGTGAGCCCAACCTGGGCAACTTCGTGACTTTAGGAAGATTTTGTCTGAAAATTAAAAATAATGAAAGAGCTAGAAAAAAACTTCAGGGCAAGTGGTACTATTGGTATAACGCATCAATACCTGGTTCATAGCATTGAAAAAAGAACTTTTTCTATTTTACATCATTGAAGATGTTTGTTACTATAGTTTAGAGCATGTCTGTGGCTTGCTTCTCAATAGAGCTATACAGGACATGGTTGAAAAAAATCAGTGCAAGTTTAATTTATTACAGTAAAAGACCCATTGCCATTAATCCTGCCTCAAAATACTCATTCTTGCTGCCAACACTCTTATCCCAGAGTTCTTGCCACTTTCTGAAGGAGTTTTGGACGTCCTCTTTCCTGTCTTTGGTTACACTGTTATGACTGCCTTGATGTTCTAAGTTGATTCAGAACATTTACCTTTCATGGCCACTTGGACTTTGGGGAAGAGCCAGAAGTCACTCGTTGCTGTATGCAGTGAATAAAGTGGAGGGGGACATACACTGTTTTTAAGAGCCTTACTTTTCTGTCAGACAGCCCTATGCAGCAGCAGCCAGCATATCTTTAAATTTCACCTCCTGCAGAGCACCCCAAAGCCTCCTTAGGTTTACATCATCTTGAGAGTCTTTTCCTGCCTTTCACCCTTGACTGGCAGCACAGGGCCAGAGTGGCGAAGAAATCTGGTCTACAACTGCATCTGAGATAGCTCTGAAATGTTTTCTGGGGCAGCTGTTTTGCCTAAAGTCACCTTTAACAAAGCAACAATCCTTGCTACCCAAAGTGTGGTCCGAGACCCAGCAGAATATCGGCAGCACCTGGGTATTTGTTAGAACTGCAGACTCTGGAGTCTCCGCCCCAGACCTAGCAAAGCCCAGTCTGCTTTGAAGGTAGATTCCCCAGTCATCCATGTGCCTGTTAATGCCCAAAAGTGTGGGCCTGGTGGCCCTCGGTACTGACTGACCTTGGTCTTGAGCAACAGTGATGGCCCCGTAAACATGCGCAGCAAATGCACCCACCTCTGACTCAGTTCCTGGTATTGACAGGCACAGTTGCATCTCCCATTTTGAAGCAGGAAGTGCCTCTTTGCTTTCTGTTTGTCCAGCACATCAGAGTGGCTGGCTATCCATACCCAGTCTCCCATGGGCCTGCTGCTCTCAGGCATCCATCAAAAGTAACGTACTCTGGCTTGCCTCCTCCCATGAATTTCTTCCAAGGGTGCACATCTTTGCCGTCATGAGAATGCTATTGCTGTGGGAAAGGCCCTGTAGCCTTGAGAAATCCCACTGCCCACTTGGCCTGGCAGTGCCTTTATGCTTCCTTGGTGTGTGGGAGATCCTGTGGGGAGGGGAGCGGACATTCTTATGAAACCCCAGTGATTTTCAATTTTTTACGGTCAGCAGATGAAGAAGAGAAATCTTACGTGGAACTCACTTTACAAAAAAGGCACAACCAAGCAGGCAAGGCCCACAGCACCACTATTTTTTCACTCTGCTCTAGAGTACCCTCTAGGATGGATGCAAAGGCTAGCTCTTGCCTCTGTGGCTCCTTGCCAAAGCCTAGCACCCCAGTCTCATCACGAGAAAGCATCAGACCAACAGAGCCACTTTCTATACAGTAAAGTGTCAAGGCTGTGAAAGACTAGGAAAGACGGAGAAATTGTCACAGATGAGAAAAACCCAAGCAGACATAATGACTCAATGCAGAGTAGGACCTTGGATCGAAGCCTGGACCAGAGAGAGGACGCTGTGGAAAAACTGATGCAGCCCACATAAAGCCCGCAGTTCAGTTAGCAGTGTCGTGCCAAGGCTAATTTCTTACTTTTGATAACAGGATTGCAGTAATTCCAGATGTTCCACTAAAGGCTGCTGGGTAAAGGGTTCAGTATGTCGGAGCAAACTGCCGCCTTTTCAACCTTGTGTAAATCCTAAATTATTTCTAAATTAGAAGATTTTAAAAGAAAGCAAACACTGCAGTTCTGATTGAAGTTGGGCAGGGCCAACCGAGGAGCGAGGAGGAAGAAGCCAGCACCTGTGCCTTACCTGACTGGCAGCCTTTCACTTCCTTCACCCGCTGCTCCTCACCTGTACTCAGCTGTCTTCTGTATTTTGAAAACTGTTTCGTACAACGCTTCTTCGTTATAATTCCTTTTTGCAATAACTGCTTGAGGTGGGTCATTGCTTCCATTTTACAGATGGGGAAACATCAGAGGAGTAAATGGCCAAGGTCACAGGGCTGGGATCAAAAGTCAGGCTTGAAACCCCATCTGGCTCCAAGGAGACATTTGTCTCCCTCTGTTGCAGACGTGTGTCTGCCCGGTGAGGTCTCTACCAGGCTGCCTGCTCACTCCGCCTCTCTTCCTTGGCCAGGGACAAGTCCTGCTTTGGGAAACGAGTCGGTGTCATAGTCCTCCTCATACATGGCTCCTGGGATGCACCCTCTAATGTACCATTTTGGCCTTTGCAGCCTTCAACCTTCTCCAGCCATAGCTTGGGCTCCGCTCAAGAGTGTGGGAACGGTAAGGAAGCAGGAAATCAGAACAAAGTCAAGTCCATGGCGAATCAGCTGCTGGCCAAGTTTGAGGAGAGCACGCGGAACCCCTCAGTCCTGAGGCAGGTGAGTCAGGCCGGGGGCTCACAGGCCTGCCTTCCTAATGGGGAGTCCAGTTCAGACTCCAGACAGATTGAGATGCACCAGCCAGTCCCGGTGGAAATGTACTGGGGTCGCTTGGTGAGGAGTCTGCAGGCCCTTCCTCGAGGCTGGGTAGTAGCTCTTTATACAGTGCATTGCAGGCCGTGCTGTCCTATTACAGTGATGTGGCTCTGCCATTGCAACACAAAAGACACCATGGATGGGACCTAAATAAACGAGCATAACTGTCCTGATAAAACTTTATTAACAAAACAGGCCAGATTTGGCCCATGGGCCAAAGTTTGTTGATGTCTGTAGTACATTAAATAAATCGATTTCCTAATTTGGTTTTGCTTTAAAACCATGATTTGGTTTGCAGCCACTTTTGAGATCCTATAGCTCGAGGGTGGTTTTGAGCTGCTGGCCTTGTGGGCAAGTGCTAAGTGCAGGGTGAGAAGACTCATCCATCCCAGAGGAAGCTGACTCAGATCTCCTGGGACCTGAGCAACCTCCCTGGCCTTCTTCTCTTCTCATAGCCCCGTCAGCTGCCTGGGCTCCTGTGTTTGACCAGGCTTAGTCTGAGAACAGGGCACATAGCATGCTCTGGATCAGGCTGCAGATTTCTGTCTGACTCTGGTCAGGATCCGTGCTCATAGTTCTGTTTGTTCCCCTGGATTTCTTTTGGATGCTGTTGTCACAGGACAAAAGCTTTGGCAAAGGGGGTTTATTCTGTCTGTAGAGAATACCTGTCCCATGACATTATGAGGTCCCATTCAGGAGGAGAGAGTCTTGCTCTATTAGCTTTAGAGATGATCAGAGATGTCTTCTTGGTCTTGGTGTGGACCGTACCCCTCCTGGACTAGCTGATCACCCCTGGAAGTGATTTATTACGAGAACCATTGTCCTGAGACCTGTGATTCTCTAAGAATATTATCAATGCCCCTTCTCAGGGCTTGGCCTCCCTGGTTTAGTGAGGGGACTGTTCTGTCGGGACCAGGCATCCCTGTCCTGGAGCTGGCAGAAAGCCACCCTGGCCTGGCGCAGGCTCTGGCAGTGCCAACCCAGGGCCTGGGTCTGATCCAAACTCAAGGCCTGTGGGATTCACGCCTTGTCCAGGAGGAGGGGACTCCGGGCCTGACTGCTCACATGGACACGGACGGAGAGCAGGCTTGGGTTACTCACTGGGCCCAGCTTGCAGGAACCCAGCCAGCCTCTCTGCGCATGCACATTGCATCCCCTGCTCCTCCTCTCTCCTCCTCCCACTTCTCTTGGTCTGACTCACCTTTTCTTTCGTATCTCCTGCGGCTGCTTCTTTGGACCTTTCTCCACCCAGGAGCGCCATGTCTCGGGGATAGGTAAGCCCGTCCCGTGCTCTTCCTCTGCCCCTCCTGTAGACTCGCGCTGCCCCATGCCAGAGGAGCCCACTCCCAGCCTGCCACCTCCTCTGAAAAGGCAGGTAGGGCTCCTGCCAGTCATGGCTGTTTGGGGACATTGATCTGAGGGGTGGGATCAGTAGCTCCCTCTGCCCCCCACTAGGCCTGACTGTAGGTTCTCTGGGGAAATGGTGACTTGACGTGGCCACCCTATAGGTCAGAAGAGCCGAGTGTGCTGCACCCACTGAGGGGCAAGGCCTCCCATTTCCACAGCAGCCAGGGCCCGCGTGGAGGGCCTGTAGTTTATTCTACCTCACAGCTCTGGGGTTGTGATTTGAACAGAACCACTATAAAGAGACTACAAATTCCGATGGAGGTGGGACGAGGAGGTACAGATCCACTGTAGGTGACTTGTGTGTTGTCTAAGATTCACCTGTGGAGTTTTATACAAAATACCCAGGTCTCACCTCGCTGGCCAATCAAATCTGCCCAGTGGAGTCTAAGCCCAGACCTGGGGATGTTTCTAAAAGTAGCTCAGAAGATTTCAGTGTGCAGCTAGAACCGAGAGCCGGGGCTGTACAGGTTTGGGACAAGAGGGCCTGGGTGAGGCCCAGGATTCACTGTTAACAAGGTGTCAGGTGACTGATGCAGGAGCAGAAGGGCGGCCCCAGAGACCATATGGCATGCGCCCCTCTGCCTGGTTCTCATGGGTTCTCACAGTGGGAGCGGTGCTTGATGCCCATCTCTCCCAGCTCTCCTCTGTGCTTGTCATGGGGCAGGTGCTCAGAGAGCTCAAGCAGGTGTCTCCCGGTGGCGAGTGTCCGAGCCGGCCCTGGAGAGCCAGGGCCAAGTCTGACCTGCAGCTGAGTGGCCCAGAAAACCATGCCACCCTGCCTCCTGCCTGCCAGGGAGCACTGGCCCTCTCGGGGGTGCTGCGGCGACTTCAGCAAGTGGAGGAGAAGATTCTCCAGGTGAAAGATCGCGCTGGCTTTCTGTCCTCCCTCTCCTCCTCCTCCTCCTCCTCCTGTCCCCCCTGGGTCCCTTCTCTTCCCGCTTCCTCCTTGTCTCCCACCCTGCTATGTGTGTGGCGAGTGAGACGAGCCCCAGATCCCTGGGCTCCCGCTCAGAGCAGCCCTCAGCCTCTGTCACTACTCCTCTTTTCTTTCTCCTTTCTCACCTTGGCTGCAGAAGAGGGCTCAGAACTTGGCCAACAGGGAATTTCACCAAAAGAACATTAAAGAGAAAGCAGCTCACCTCGCCTCCATGTTTGGACATGGGGATTTCCCACAGGTAATGGGGCTGTCAGAGCCCCCAGCAGTCCACATGCTCCGTGAACGACCCTCTGGAGCTTGGTTTTCTCCATCTTCTTTTGCAACTCGAAGAGAATTATTTCTTTTGTAAGCCACTAAAGAGTTTCAGGTGGCATCTGAAAAAAATGCAAAGATTTCAAATAAGTCCATGTATCATGGCAAAGGGGAAACAAAGACAGGAAAATAAGCCCAAATCAAAAGGAATCACTTCCAAACAGAAAGGCTGTTGAAGCCTAGATACCTGAGGTTTCTAAGTGTATTTGGAGCCCCGAAGGGCCCACTGCAAGGAGGAAATGCTGGTTGTTGCAAAGCTCCCAGGGTCTTTAAGGTGGAAGTGAACCAGTTGCTCACACTGCTCTGGAGCACAGTGAACGGGCGAGCTGTGGACTCATCAGGGAGCCCCTGGTCACTCTGCTGGCCTCTGCTCCTCAGGGACAGTGTCAAGCCCAGACACAAAGTCTCCCTTAGCACAGGAAGAACAGCCCCTCCAGGACAGTGACGTATTTGGAACCTTGCAGAAGAAAGCGGTGTTCCCAGAGAGCTAGCCGCATCGATACTGAGGCCCTGGGGTGCGAGTGTGAAGCCCTCTCCTGCTGCAGCAAGCCTGTCTGGAGCTCATCTTCTCTGCCACTCTCACTCCACCTCCTCCAGACCTGTGGCCCCTGCTATCTGGTGGAGTCTGTGAAGGAGCGGGAGTTCATTTTTAGGCCAGCACAGTCGCCTGCCCACAGCTGCAGAGGCCTCTGCTGCACCTTCTGTCCCAAGAGACCCAGGGTTCTCCCTACTAAGCTTGCAGCTGTTGCTTCGAACCAAGCTTCGGGGTGAGGGCTTCAGGAATTAGCGCTGCTGTCTGGGGCACAAGGAAGCAGGAACAGAGAGGATCTGCTCGGCTAGTTCAGTGTGACCAGGCAATGGTAGCAGAATGCAGAGGCCACAGAATCCTGTTTGGCTCCAAAGACAGGCTTCTGTTCGGTCCTGAGACCCAGGCCTTGGTGTCTCTTCCCCCTTTGGGGCACAGGGCTGCATCTGGGAGGTGTGCTTCCCTGTGCAAGCCCCTAGGATAATCCTAGTCTCCTCTGTCTCTGTTCCGTGCAGAACAAACTACCCTCTAAAGGCCTGTCTCATACTCATCCTCCGTCTTCTCCCTCTTGCCTTCCGTCTCCTGATCCAGCTGCTACTTGCTCTGCATCAACTGTTGACTCTGCTTCTCCTGCCAGAAAGGTAGTTGCCCTGAATCATGTGTGGTCCTACCCCCTGCATGTTCAGAAATATCCTTGTGCACTGCCTGGGCTGCTCAGAAAGACATCTGGAGCCTGGCTTGGCCTGGATGAAAAATTGTAAGAGACTTTACTACAGTCCTGGATTCAGTTTTGGTTTTGTGTTATAACACGCAACGCAGTAGAACATGCAGCCTACAAAAACACTGCCAAACAGTGCTCATCCATCCAACAAGGCTTAATCAGGGACCGACCTGGTGCCAACCACTTTGTCAGATGCTCAGAAAACAAAGAGGGGAAGGTATAGTTCCCTTACTACAGTTTGGATAAAAACAGCATTTGATTGTAGAAATAAGTCACATTTCTGGTGTATGAAATTGCTGTGATTTGGCAGGTTTGACCTGAAAAAATGACAGCTTCACCTGGCAAACCTGATAGAATCCTATTTGTTCATCAAGGTTGTAGGAAGAGAAGGGAGAGAAGCCTGGAAGAATTGGCAGAGGAGGCAGGTGGGAGCCGAGTGGCGAAGCTGCAGAGGAGGGCTTTGCTAGAGAGGAAAGTAGGGCAGGAAGGGCAGAGCAGACCTGAGAGGGGAGACGGCCTGAACCTGGGAGCAAAAGTATGCATGGCGGTGTGGGCGGTGTGCTCTATGTGGTAGGACTTTCATAGTATCCTCTGAGTTATTTTAAGCCACTAAAGGATCTGCTCTGCGTTCCAGCACAATGGCTCAGGCAGCAGAGCAGAGGCTGGCTCCGAGGAAGACGGGTGGGGTGGAGTGGGCTGTGTGCTGCCACACACATCCTCAGGGAGGAAGGCGAAGGTAGGGTCCCCAAGAAAGAAGGAAGGAATCTTACGAGCCACACCCTCTCCAATATGAATGCGAAGCACCCTCCAACAGGGCAGGGCAGGGAGGTGGTGTGGAGAATCGCAAACACGTCCAATTCGGTGCCATGGAGAGGAGCCATGGTCAAGACACCGTGAAATCCAGCATCCTGTTCTGGGTCAGCCACTGGTCGGTTGTTTGGCTTAACCTGCTGTGCTGTTTGGGCCCCATTTTCCCCAACAAGTGGCCACACCCTGCTCCAGCCCCCCTCCAGCTGCTGGGGCCTTTGGAGAGAAGCCTAGCAAAGCCCTAAGCTGGCTGGGTCACTATTCTCACATAGTTGGGGACAGAGCTGGGACAAGAAAAGCCACCGCCCTTCTCAAGTCCACTGGCTTGGTTCCGGTAGCAATAGTTTCCCTCTGGCCGGCTGACAGGAGCTGCCGGGACTGACAGAGACACTTTTTGTCCTGAGCTCATCCCCATTGTGTCGTCAAGCCCCACTGAGCCCTTCTCCCTGTAGCTCTGCAGGCGGCTGTAAACCAGTGCCATTCATGAGGCCAATAAGTGAACATTCATTCATTCATCCATTCAACAAATGTGCACTAAATGGCAACTCGGGGTGGATACTTTGTGTTCTTAGGTTGTGCACCAGTGAATCAGAGTGAAATTCCTGCCTTGATGTGGCTTACATTCTAGTAGGGAGAGGTAAACAATCGACATCATGTGATATATAAGTAAATTATATAACAATATGTAAGCAGATAAGGCATAACTTCTTATGGAAAATGTAGGATGGTAGCAGGGGCCTGGAGCTCTGGGAGGGAAAGAGATTTTAAATGGGGTGGGGAGGAGGGGTCTTCCTGGAATGTGAGAGCTGAACAGAGGCAGAACCACACAGGTAAGAAAACAAAGGTTCAGGACAATATGCTAATCCAGTTTTAAAACAAACACCTCAGGATTTGCCCTGGTCTAGAGATTGCATGTTAGAGGGAAATGGAACCTCTGGGCAAGTTTTGGCTGAGCAGTCTTCTTTGGCCCCATCTGGTACAAGGCCAGGTCTCAGGGCTGCCTCGACACCATTTCCTCTCCCTCCCTCCAGAGATAGAGCTGTGCAGCTTTCTGAAGGTCTTCAGTGTGCATTCCAGCCTGGCAGCTTTGAATTTGCAGGGTGCCTTTGTGGGCCAGGGAGGCAGGGTGCTGTCAGCAAATACAAGCTCAGAATCAGATGAGTTCAGAGCACCAGCTACTCACTGCGTGACCTTGGCCAAGCAAGTGGGCCTCTCTGAGGCCTGTGATGTGAGGTGTCAGCCACACCTGAAGGGGACTGGAATACAGCGATGATTCATTATAGAGAAAATGCTTGAAGTATCAGTAAATGCTCCCTTTCCAAGTAAAAGAGACTTGCAGAAGAATGCTCATGTTTACCTAAAATGCATGTCCCTGACTTTCTAGAGGAAAAGCAGACAGTTCGGGTTTCCATCTCCATCGACTTAAGAACAGTGAGTCAGAACCTTCCCTGCCCAAGGGGATTCAGAGACCCCCCCTTGCAGGGCTGTGCCAGGTAAATGCATATGATCAGCAGCACAGTGCCTGGCACTGGGGACAAATGGAGACAGACATGGGCCTCACTGAGAAGTCACCCCCTGAAGGTTTGCCTGCATCTCAGCTCTGAGATGCAATTTCCAGACCACCTTAAGTAAATCTTTTCCAGTTCTTTATCCATCCCTCCCTTCAGCATTTAGTTAGGAGTCAGGCCCTGCCTCTGATGTCTCTCATCCAAGGACTCCTCAGTGAGGATGTCCTTGCCTACACAGACTTAGGAGACCTCCGCTGGCCCTAGCCACCAAGTCTGCCACTTCACACAAGGCCTCAGACCAAGGCCCTGAAAGCTCGGGTTATCTGATTCCAGAGTAGGCCACACAGCTGCAGGTGGCTCAGTGCTGGATACCAGGTGTTCTTTGGCGGAGTTGCAGGCCCGAGGAAGGATGTTCCGTTGTTTGGACACCTAGGCTCCAGAAGCCTGCTTCCTCCTTTATTCAGAGCATCTTGCCTGTGGTAGGAATATAGAAATAAATAAGACAGGGCTGCTGACATCAAGGACCACAGCCTGGAGGGGGAGATGGGCCAGGTGGGGCATAGTGTAAGAAATGCACCTGCCTACTCCTAGCTGGGGTGACAGGATTGCCTGAGCATTGTCTCTTGGTGGAAGGCCAGCATCTTCTGCAGTCTCTGGCATTGAAGGTTATGATAATGTTATGCCACTGTGCTTAAATCTAAACTGGAGAAAGGATGACCTTGTCCTGGGTGAGCTACATCATTCTTGCTCAGGCAGACAGTGGAAGTTTCCTTTCTTAAGTGAGAAGAGAGAAAAAGTCTTAGAACATGGAAACAGACCTGTACTGATGGCAGGGCTATGAGCTCATTAACAAGTTACCGAGGGCCTTTTGGGTACCCAGACTATGTGGGACACTATGTAGTCCTCTTTTGAAGGCCTGCAAAGTTGGAGTGGTCTTTTCATTTTACCAATGTGGGAGTTGAGGTTCACAGAAAGGAAGTAGTATATGTAAGGTTAACTTAAAGTAACAAGATGATAGCCTGCCTGGAATGTCCAACCACTCTAGCTTGTTCTAATTAATTAGCTGAGAAATAATTAGAATTCAAAAGGAGACAAGGGTAGTTAAAAATGCCCAAAGTCTTAAAAACTATAAGAATGTTGAAAGATTATAAAGGATTGCAAAAGCAATCCTATGAGACTCTGAAATTGCTAATGCTTAAAACACTAGTGAGAGGGAGGTGATCACTTTTGGCAAAATCATCAAATTGGCCAAGTGGACATTTGGATGAATCGCATGCAGCCAAATCCTGAGTGCTCTCTGACCAGCCTTCCCAGGGAACGTTCACGGCTTGTCATTCAGCATATGCATCGCCTCGCTGAGCACTGAGGGCTCTTACTGAGGTCAACACCAAGAAGAGTTCTCTGGAAGTTTCTGTGTGAGTTGAGCATCTCTGATAGGCAGCCTGGTAATTCCCCAGCTGATGACAGCAGGGCTACTCAAAGTGTGGTCCCTGGGCAGGGGCCAGCTGTGATCAGTGAATGCAGCATTGGAAATTGCACAGCACTTTGCTGTCACCACACATCCAAATGTGTGATCACGGTTCTTTCTAGTCATTTATGTTTATGGGATCAAGAAGTACTCAGCCACAATACATCAGAGATTTAAATACAAAACAAAAAACAAAAAAAACCTGCTCATTGTGCACAATAATTTGAGGAACACTGAGCTAGCAGAAGCCAGCCTCTGAGACCCTCACTCTTGTGGAACCAATGCAGCCATCCCACTGTTGGAGACACAGGACAGCCCTTGACCTGGCGGGGAATGTCTGCCTTTACACCGGTCTTTCTTGTGACCTCTCCCAGAAGTCCCAGTCTCCACCTTGGAGACCCGAATGGTCTCCAGCAGGTTGGAAAGGGCAGATGAGACTAGAGTGGGTCGCTCTCCCTAAGGGTCCTTTCAGTTCGGTTCCTTCTCATGGCATTCGGTCTCTCAGAGGGTATGAGTGATGCCATTGGGAGAAAGGAGGGTGGTCTTCACCCTGGACCCGCTGGCCAGGAGACCTGGACAGTGCCCCGTGCTTATAGAATTGAGCACTGAGTACACAGGCATGTTTTGGTGCCACCCTCCAGCAACCTCACAGCCCTGTGTGCTTCAGTAATTGCTCCCTAAGTTGGGGTTGCTCCGAAGCTCAGAGGCACAAAGTGCTTATTAGCTAAGTGCCTAATAAGGTCTCATTAGGGACCTGTATTTAAAACCTCCTAGAGTCTCATCTCTCTCCATCTCTGCTCCATCAGGGGAGGCGATCATTGTGCGTGGGTGTCATGGCGTCACCCGCTACCTTTCTGGGAGAGAACTGCAGAGCCAGTTCACACACTGGGCCAGTGGAGACAGCCACCCAAGGGGCTGGGCGATCCGCTGCCTTCTGCCTTCCATACCCCTAATTACTTTAATATAAACCCAGAAAGTTCTTTGTCCTGCAGCCCCTGGCTGAGGGGCTGAGTTGGGGGCCCCAGATAGAGAATCAGAAGCAAACAATGGCTTATTGTCTTGAGCCAGCGCACCTGAGCCTCCCTGGAAGTGGGAGCGGAGCTTCTTGGGCCTTGTAGCCTCCAGGAAATGCAGGGAACATGCTTGGAAGCAGAATCCCGGTCTCCCCAAGGCTGGGCCAGCATGGGGCAGGGTGGAGAGGTGGCAGCTGTCTCTGTAAAGTCTGAGGACGCCTCATCTGCCGCAGCCTGAGGGTCAGACCACCCCAGCAGGCCGGCAGCATGTTCTGCCCGGTCCCCACGGGCTGCATACACGGATCATTCCAAAGCTGCTCTGTGTCGGGGTTTCTGCCATGAGAAAAGGAGTCAGGGTCTCCTGGGCCCAGTCACTCTCCCTGCTTGCTGCACACCCCTCTCCCTGTGCCTCCCCAGAGCGCCTGGTGTTGGCTGCAATCGGAAGAGCTGGCCTTCGGTGCAGACCATGGCCCTGCTGCCCGGAGGTGGGGAGCTGTGCGGCCTACTGCCCTTCACTCCGCTGTCCCCTGAACCTCCTGCTTTGTATCTGAGGCTGTGTTACCAGAGTCGAAGTGGCCTCCCAAGCGCAGCCTTGGGTTCGGATGGAGGGCATCTTTCCATTCATACCCAAGGCCCTGTTACTTGTGGCCCTGATGCCAGCCAACTTTTACCCAGAGGCCCTGCAGCCTACACTGCTCGTTCTGGCCTCTCCTAGGAGCTGGATTTGGAGGTGAGGCAGGGGTAGGAGTTCCCCGATCCCTCAAGTCTGGAGATCAGAAACATTTTTTCCAGAATCTTATGCTGTGGGTATTTGCCTGTCCTGAGGGGAGATGGCAGTGCTCCCAGGGAGAGGGGCTTTTAGAGCTGAGAAGGGCAGCGAGCAAGGGTCTGCGGAGGGTGTTGTGTGATTGCGCCATGCTCTGGGCCGACAGCTCCAGCTCTTCCCCAGCCCCTTCTCACATGGGTGGGATCCAGGCATGCATGGTGCATGGGTACCGTTAATAGCAGCAGCACTCACCACCCACCATCAGGTGGTGCTTTAGGGCCCATTCGGGACTGCTCCCCACTCTGGGTCAGCCTTTCCCAGCTCTGGGGCCTGCTGGGCACTGCCATGGAGCTCCCCCATCCTGCTCCTCTACCAGCCTAGGGCAGCCCCGCCATCACTCCAGCTGTCACTCCAGCCCAGCCACCGCCGATGGCCAAGGTGGCCTGTGGTCCTTTCCGGAAGGATGGATACAGCTCTCTGGAGACCCAGGAGCAGCAGGGTAGGCTGGGTGGGTAGAGTCATGGTTACCTTGACTTTAGGCCCAGCTTCTGCTCAGTGCCACCCACTTGTCTCACTCAGTCCTTTTTATAAATCCATGAAGCAAGTACAACTCTCCCTCTTAGTAGGTGAGAGAATGGAGCTCAGAGGCTCGGTGCAGACACCTCTGTGGCACAGCCGGGTCCCGGTCCATGCAGGCCCCGCTGCCTGTGCAGCATCCCCACCCCCCAGGAAGACGGTTCTCTGCCTGCTGTCCGTGAGGGCCAGCTCCCCATTTCCTACTTTCCTTTGCTTGGCTTCTCTTCCCACAGGCTTTTGCAGGCTCTGGTGACAGGAGTGTGAGGTGGACGTTTTGGGTAGTTACTGGGCCCAAACAACACAGTTTCCCGAGCCCCTCAGGAGAGAGGCTTGATGGCCCCAGGCTGAGCTTAGGAGACCTGAGAACATTCCTGAATCTTCCATTTATTTGCTAAGGAGATTCCTCTGGGATTCATTCACCCAATCTGTGCATCCAGGGGTTCAGTGAAGCCTTCAACACTTCCTGACCCCAATGGGTGTGGTTCCACCAGTCACCTGGGTTACCAGGGACATGGTTTTTAAATTTGTATTGTGTTAAAAGATACTGCACTAACATTTGCCACTGAACCGTATTTAAGTGTATGCCTCAGTGACATCAAATACATTCATAATATCGTGCAACCATCACCACCATCTCCAGAACTCTACATCTTGTAAAATTAAAACTATATCCATAAACATTAACTCTCCATTCCCCTCCTCCAGGTCCTACCACACACCATTCCACTGATGTTGATGACCCTAGGCACCTCACAGAAGTAGAATCCTAGAGCATTTGCTTTTTGTGGCTTCAGAGTTTTCTTTCTTTCCTCCTGCCCGTCCCAGGGTGCCTGCCTTCTGCTCCTGGCAGGTTTGCCTCTCCTGATGTTGTGTGCTCTTTGCATGTGGGCACAGAGCCCTTGCCCGCATCCTGCCTTGCCAAGTCTTCCTTCTGGGCACTAACTGGCCTCTTCTCTGTCTCTGTTCCTCTGCCTCTGCTCTGGGCTAGCTGACAGTAGGGAAAGTGTCCAGCGGAATAGGGGCTGCAGCTGAAGTCCTGGTCAATCTTTACTTGAATGATCACAGACCTAAGGCCCAGGCCACTTCTCCAGACCTGGTAAGGATGTGCACCTGTCAGCTTCGCCTCTGTCCTCCACGGTGGGAGGTAGATGCAGAGAGAATGGCCCAGCCCTCTGAAAGCTGCCCTTCTCAGGGACAGGAAGGTGCTGGGAATGAGCCAGACCCAAGCAGGGGTCAGAAGGACCTGCATCTCCTCAATGACAAATTAGGTCCTTGTGGATGATACCCTCTCCCCCTGACTGTGGCTATGAAGAACCACTCAGTGCACAGGCTGCATGAGGCCGTCCACCTAACTAGGCATCCCTGACCTTCATGTCTGGGGTCCAGCCTGAGCAGGCCCATGCCTCAGATGGAGAAATGAGGAATGGCGAGAGCATGCCTTTCCCTTCACAAGGCTGCTGGCTGCCATTGCCAGCGGAGCACTTTGGCAGCTCCTTCAGTTGCGCCAGCCTCCCCTGGCCCTAGCCCTTCTGCTTTGCCTTTGGGAATCCAGCGGCCTAGGGTCTGCAAGGCACAGGCTCTCCTTTTTCTCTGCTGTCATGGTCATATCTGAGGCCCCAAGATTTTCTTGCCTGATCTAAGCCACTTCGGGGGACCGGGTCATATAAAATCCTCCTGGTCAGGGCCCTGTCAGTGGCTCCATTCTGGAGCCCAGTGACACTTCCAGGACCAGATCCTGGGGAGGGCACCCCTGGGCAGGCATGTTTGTGGGTGATGCCCTCTGTGTCATGCTCCCACCCAGGACAGAGGAGCCAACCTGGGGAAGAATCCCTGCAGGGCTGGGGTCCTGGCTTCGGGTGAATATTCCCATGTGCAGAGCAAGTAGGGCCCCAGAGGTCCTGGTGACCTGGTTGGAAATTTCTACAAGCGAAGGCCTGGCCTCTGAAGGCTCACCAGCCCTCACACACTGCTCTTCCTTACCTACCCCAGGAATCTGTGCGGAAGATGTTTCCCCTGAAGCTGGGCGGCAGTGACACCTGCTACTTCTGCAAGAAGCGTGTGTACGTGATGGAGCGGCTGAGCGCCGAGGGCCACTTCTTCCACCGAGAGTGCTTCCGCTGCAGCATCTGTGCCACCACCTTGCGCCTGGCCACCTATGCCTTTGACTGTGAGGAAGGTAACTCAGGGTGTGGGCAGCACTGGAGCTTGCCCTGCAATCCCGGGCCTCTGCCGGCTCTGGGACACCCACCTCTTCCTGGCAGGGAATACCCCGCTGCTAGGAAAGCTGTGTAGGGAATCCAGAGCCCCTGCTATGGAGGGAATGGAGGCATCAGTGCCTGCAGGGTGCCGGGCAATGGTGCCACCACCACGGCTAAGGGCTTTGCATATGCTGCCGCATTCAGCAGGGCCGCCTTGCATGGTTCCCATGTGGCCCAGAATATCCAACCTGATAACCTGTTTAACACGCCCAGCAGCACACCTGGCATGTAACAAGGGTCTAATAAATGATGGTATATCACCAGTATCTCTAAAGTAGGTGTTATAACTGGAACCATAAGATCTCCTCTGATAACTGGCCTCACTGAGATCATTGAGGGAGGAATTATGCTTCAGGGAGTGAATGGGTGATTTCTAACTCCTAGCCCTCGATATCACACTGTCCTCTTGGTGTGGCGAAGTACTATCCTGGGGACTGCACGCCCTCACGCTGACCTGCCTTGATCGAAGTCCTGGCAGGATAAACTGCCTGTTGGCCACTGAACTATGGGTCTGTTACTTCACCTCTTACTCCCTCAGTTTCCTTGACTGTGAAGTAAAGGCAATAATAGCACTTAGCTCAGAAGGTTGTTGCAAGAACTCATGGGTTAGTTAATGTGCTAGAAGAGGGCCTGCTATACAGTAAGTCCTATCTTGAGGGTCCCTGTGACTATGGCCATCTCATTGTTACTATCGTAGCAGCGAACAGGAAGGCTTTTGTGGAAGCTGCCCTTGGACCTGGGCAGTGGCCGGTTACCCAGCATGTGCCGTGTCTGGGTCTTCTCTTCCCCATTCCTGCTTCTTCTCAGCTATCCCCACCCCCAGGGATCCCAAAAAGCAGGACTGAGGGTACTGATGCTCAAAGCTGCCCTTTTTGTTCCCTGACAACTGGTCTTGTGAAGAAACTTGACCTCAGTTTGGTTTGAGGACTTTGACCCCACCCACCTCACCCCCATTTCTGGAGCCTTTGCCAAGCTGCAAAGTGTGCAGCTGCCTCATCTCAGAGCCACTTCTTTAGGGCAGGTGACAGAAGTGTGAGCATCCTGGACTTATTTCCATTATTGGTGTATTCTGACTTGGTCATAATGAGCATTTCGCTTACGTCTATTGTGATTTGGAGAAAAATTGTGTGCATGTGCGTCTCTTTTTACAGGCAAGTTTTACTGCAAGCCTCATTTTATTCACTGTAAAACCAACAGCAAACAGCGGAAGAGATGGACAGAGTTGAAGCAAGAAAGACAGGTATGTTATCTTCTCTCTGGTCTCAGAAGTGCTGTGGAACATGGAAGACCCAAAGAAGAGGGTCCCCAAGGGTTCCTGAAAGTCAGGCCAGGTTTTCGGGCCCTGAAGGGATAGAGGCTATACTCAGATAAGGAAGAGAGCCCTCACTTCCTGCTATGGGTGGTTCTGCTACCTGGGGGTGTTCAGCCCAGCCTCTGGGGCCTGCCCTGTTCCCCTGAGAAGCTGAGCAGAGCTCCCCTATGTGCTACGCTGGACCATATGCCAAAGCCACACAAAAGCCACATGGGTCCCTGTGCCTGGGCTCGTCTGTCCACAGGGCGCAGGGTACAAGAGGAAACACCATGTGGAGCTCATGCCCAGTTGCCAACCCATGCCCAAGACCCTACGTGTCAGCACAGGGACAGGCCCACTAATTTATAGATGATCTGTGGTCGCACTCCTCTGGTAGCTACTTGCAAATACCTTCTCTCTGGTTTGATGAATCACCCATCCCCAGCAAAAACCCACAATTTAAAAATTTGTAGTGGTACAAATAATATAGACCCAATGTAGAAGAGCAGGCAAATAAAAGCACGTAAAGAAGGAAGGTTAAAGCATCCACGGTCGCTTTGCCTTGAGAAAACCCCAATAGCCATTGTGTAATATCCCCCTTCTAGCTTCTTCCCTAACTGGACTCCTACCTCTACAATTTTACATCGTTATTTTTTTCTCTAACAGTATACTGAGAATAGTTTTCCATGATGTTAAAAATTATTTGAGAGTGTGATTTTTAATACTTACAAAAGATTCTATTTTATGCATGGTCAACAGTCTGTTTCACTAGTCCCGTATTTTTAGACTTCCACACTTTGATATTCTAATCTTGCAAATATTTTTACAATGAACTTCTCTTTAATGCAAATTTTTATCTGTATTTCAAATTATTTATTTAGTATATATTATTAAAGTTAGGGTGGCGGGTCAAAAGCACGTACATTTTGAAGGTCCGTGAACTCTGTGGTCAGCTTGCCCCCCGGCAAAGTTATGTCCACATGCAGTACCATGAAAAAGAGGGAGGAGATGGCTCGGGGGCTCTCTGCAGCACCAGGGACCCACGTTTGATTGGCGGTAGCTCTCTCAGATGGTTTGGTTGGAGTTCTCTGGGGACTCATGGACTGAGGACTCTCATTCTGATCTCTTTCTCAGGAGGAGAGGACATGGCAGGAGCAGGAAGCCCCGAGACGTGATGCCACCACCGAAAGTTCTTGCGCAGTGGCAGCCATCAGCACAGCGGAAGGCAGCCCCCCAGGTATCTGCGCCTCCTTCTTTAGGAAGGCACTGAGCTGGCCCCTCAGGCTGTCAGGGGGCCTGCTGGCCATTCCCTGGAGCCTGCTTAACTGGATGCAGGGACTCCTGCATGCCGCTGGCCTCCATTTCAGGGACAATGCTTACAACTACCGCTACACGTACGAGCTGCTGAGCCTTGGGCTGCCGCTCCTCTGGGCCTTCTTGGAGGTCCTGGCAAGCATGTTCAGGGAGTCTGAGGACTCCCTTGAGAGCATCCGCAACTGGGTGTTCAGGTGGCTTCCTGTCAAGCTCCAGTGAAGCACCTGGCTGCCCCAAAGTGCCTTACATTTCCAGAGTTTAGATGGCCCTGTGTATAGAGCTTGCTAAGGCCCTGACGGGGAAGTCTAGCATCTGTAGCCCCTTAGCTCCAAGCCAAAGAGTTTCACATTGGCACCTCCACCTGGCTTTGACAGGACGAGCATCTACACATGGTGCTGGGGCCAGGGATGACATGAAGGATTTTTTTTTTTACTATAGCTTTTTACTGGTTTTTTTTTTTATACCAAAGTGAGCCATATTTCTGGGTTTACATTTCAATTTTTAACTTTTAATAAGCCAAGAGAAAGCATTTTTTCTCTGTCAGTTTTTCTAAACATGGGTTTGATATTTGACAATCAGTTTTACAGGCCTCTGCAATATTGCAGTGAGTTGTAAAGTCACTAGCTACAAAATTAATGGCCTAGGATTCTATATGCACAAAAATGAAGGCACTAACTCTTGACCAGTGCCTTTCAATTTGTTTAACTGATGCCACTTGTCAACATTGTTTGTGACTTATTGTGCATGTCTGTGTGTGATATGAAAGTGTGTTGATTTTAGAAGAGAAAACAGGGATGGAATAGACCAAAACCTGCAAAAGCACAGCAGAGTATATTGATTCTCTCCCCTCCCAGAGAGAGGAGGACTGTTTGCTCCCTTGTTTCAATGTAAAATGGAAGCTAAAGTCCTTTCTTACATAAAGCCACAGCCAAATGATAGGGAGCCACAGGGTTTCAGCAGACTGCTGCAAACATATATTTTTCCTTCCCTCTGATGGGCACTACATGATGGGACGTGACCCTGGAGAGCTGTGTCAGGCTGATGCAATGCTGAGGACAAGCTCTCTCAGCAGGTGGCATCTTAGCCCCTGGGGCTCCCTATCAGGTCCCCGCCCAGGTTACAGGCTGAGCCAAGGACACCTGGGGATCATAATGGTCAGACTGAGTGGGGTGGTAAAAGCTCCCCTTCCCTTGATGCCCTGGGTATCTAAGAGTGTTCGGGAATGTGGGACTTGGGAATATGTCCTCCTTGGTGACCCCTGCCTGTGACTGCACAGCCATGTGGCTGCCATGTTTGGTCAGAACAGTAAGAAACTCTACTCTGCTCTGGCAAAAAGGGTGTGTGACCTCTAGGGGGCGCTCTGCTACATCTTGATGCCCAGGAAGGCTGGGAGTAGAAGTTTACTAACCCTTTCAAGGAAACGGTCCCTATCAAGGGCAAAAAATGAGCATTGGGCCCACATGCATTCTTCACTGTGGGTGCCTAAATGAGACATCAGCGGTCTCCACTCTGCCTGGACATGCAGGGTCTGGTTGAGCAACAAGGGGTTGACAGAGAAAGCCCTTGTATGGTCCTCAGTGTGCCCAGGGTTGCTGGCCCCAAGCGAGCTCTGGGCAGCTCCTATCTCTAGAGCCTTCCTAGATTAACTAAGGAGGGAGCCTGGTGTGGGTGAGGAGTCAGAGCTCTTTGAGAGCTTTGAGACAACAGAGCTGTGTGGAAAGAAAGAAGCGGGTGTATTTCTACAAACATTTCCCTGAAATCCTTGGGATAAGCAGGGCCATGTCTATGGGAACTGTTATTTCTATCCTTGTTGCACACTGTGTCTTTCCCTTTTTTTTCTTTTTTCTTTTTTTTTTTTTTTTTTTT